GGTGCCGAAGTCGGCGCTCGGACGGGTGCAGTCACTCATCAGGCACAAGGGTCCGGTGGCGCCAGCTCATCCACGGCACCTCCGTCCCGTCCAGCTCCGGCACAATCATCCCGGTGGCCACAAGATTCCATCGCGAAGATCACCGAGCTCGGTTTCACTCGGGAGGAGGCTATGCGGGCGCTAGATGCAGCTAACGGGGACCTTGACGGTGCCATTGGCTTTCTGATATGACATGTGAATTCCAGATGCTATAAATTACGAAATCTTGACGTGTTTCCGGTACCTTACCGCTGCATCACGCCGTCATTAAGCGGTGGAGACCGCAGGTTTAGCCCAGATATCCCAAAAATCCTGTAATCGACTCGCGTCGCTGTGTGGATGAGAGAGGACTCTGAGGGACCGGCGGGGTGTGTCATTGGTAGAGAGACACCCTCCCCTTCTGCATTTCAATTCTATCAACTGCAGCTTACCGCATTATCAGTTCCATCCTTGGCCTCCCTGGCCTGTGCCCCTTGTGGCGCTGCTGGCCGAGTCAGCGTAGCGGTCAAGTCGCCCCGATTATGAATACAAAGTTAGAAACATCATCTGCACTTGCGGTGAATGCTGTGCCTCGTAAATGGAGTCTCATGTACGGAGTAAAGTGGAGCCTCTTCCTTCAATTCCTGTCTTACTTTTTAGATCAATCACGTAGCCCTATAATTAAGTAAATCCACTGCAGAAGGTGGAACGCAAGATTCCAGCCTCGCATTGCGATCTGAATTTCCCTTGACTCCATCCGCGATTGTGAAATGGCGGTACTTCCAAAAGTACTAGTATTATCCCAACCCGGACCTATATTCTACTCTACCTGGTCTATACACGGGGACCAACCCACATACAAGTTACTCGCTCTTAGATTTACCCAGTAGCTTCCCCCGCAACCTAAAGAGCATGTCCAACGCCATAAACGCCCCTGGGTCAAGTTAGCCGCCACTGATCGCCCCGCCGAAACCACCAGGCATAAAAAAAAAGAAACAAAGGAGAATGATAAAGAAAAACATGAAACCACAAGCGTGAAACCACAAAGAGAACAAAAGAAAAGACGGGGCAAAATGTATATACTTACCAAGCATCACATAAGGCGCATACAACATAGTCAAATCCTGCTTCTGGGCGACCGTGCGATCGTCCCAGCCCCAGACCTCTGCCAAGCAAGCACTCGAGGTCACGAATGATTGAACTCCAAACACCAACAAATGCATCGGGACCAAGGGGTCATCTGTCGGTATCCTTTCTGTTAGCTTCCGATGTTTTACGAGATGATTTCCCCACCGTCATCAACTTCCCCGACGGTGTTAAATAAAAAAAAAAAAAAAAAAAAAAAAAAAAAAAAAAAAAAAAAAAAAAAAAAAAAAAAAAAAAAAAAAAAAAAAAAAATGAAAGTGAAAATATTAGAAATCAATTAATATACTAAACTTAGGTATTTTACCTCTGAGCAAAGCGCCAAGAGCCCAGAGACTCAACGGTGCGTGATAGACGAGTTCCATTGCGATAAAGGTGGAGAACCACGCCGGAGCGGGCTCCGAGAAGAATTTGTCATGGTAGGTTGCTATGTAGTAAGAACGGATGTGGTGGGAAAGGTTAGTTTGGAGGATAGAGGGGAGCAGGGGGACGGTGTCGACGACTGGATTGGCGCGTTAGTATATTTCAATGTACCGATATTGTTTAGCTGGGGATGGAGAGAGGCTGTGTGGAGAAGCCTCTCCAAGGAGGGAGAGATTTACGGAATATGATAGGGAGGTGAATGGCGAAAAAGATGAAGTAGATTAGGTCGCGTTTTCGCGATATGAGAGATGCAGATTGCACCATGGTTATCCGTATCTAGGAGGTGGCAATTGTCTCGAATTGATGAATCAAATCGTTTTTGATGTATGCAAGTAGGCTATATGTGGTATGTGTGGGATGGAATTTGGAGGTCAACAGTTTTAAAGGGAGCGATAACGTGACTGCTGTCAACAAAACGGAAAACTAACATGAGAAGTCAGGTCAGGTGATCCGCAGGGACAGCGAAATAGGCAAGGGGGAAAGAAAAGACGGGAAAAAGCAAACATGCGCAATCTCTCCAAAGGCCCCCGCTGTTCATCGATGGATGACCCGGGAAACTGGGAACAAGATACGCAGGACTATTTGCTTTTTTCACTGCACGAGGCCTAAACATAGCTTAAGCTTAGGTGCGTGGATCGCTAACCTCCTATGATTCTTAACGGTTAGTTAAGTTTAGTGTCCCAAGAACAGTGACCCGGCGGTTGGGACTCGATGCTAATCGGCCTCTTTGCTTTTTCTGAGATTTTGACCTTGCATCATATCATGCTTTGATCTTATCAGTTGAAGATATCCTGAACAACAGTTCCAGGAAACACTCTTGATTCACACTGCTTTCCCTCGCCGTACACACAAGCGATCCCGACAAGGGATCAAAGACGGCGTAACCGCTCACGGGTAACTACACGAGACATCCGGTTTTAGGGAGTCTCACCGCAACTCTCACGGAAGAGTCCTTTGCCCCCTTGTTTGTGTCCTTGGTGAAGTTTGTAGTGCAAAAGCCCCTAATTTATGACGGCCCCTGGAGCTGATCGTTACCTCGACTTCCCGCCGTTCCGGAACCAGATTGGTTGGAGGAAAAAAGTACTGCAAGGAAGAGCTGCGCTCGCAAATCTGTTGCAACTTGCAGCATTCCCCACCAATATCATACAGATTTCCTGTACGCAGACTGCAGCCCAACCCAAGGAATTCCTCGAAAAATGACCTATGATAATTTTTTATAACTATTGTCTTCACGATTTGGACCGGACCGGTCATCCTTGGGACGGGAAGAGTTGCTTTTTTAGCGCCAAAACACGGAACTGCGGTCGCTAATCTATCACATAGTACGATGACTAGTCGACTGACATGGGTACCTTAGGAGTTGTGTCTCTTTCCCCGGAAGTTAGCACGGAATTTGACCGCCAGTACTCCGTATAAGTGACGAGGTCCCTCTCAATTAATCTTCGCAGGGAGCCACTACCCGACCGTTGGCGTCAACCTTGCAAATCCTTTGCTAATGGAAACCCTGGTCCCGTAAGAAAATCTCGGAAGTGTCTCATGAGCTCCAGCCGAATTAAGTGCCGAGGCAGCTCAACATTCGTAGTAATGGTCAGTCAACACGCCAGACACAGGCATTTAGGCAATATGCCGGATGGCTGCAACTATCGGCCTCAATTGCAATTCGACTCCTCCAGACCCTGAGAAATAGGAGGAAGTGGAACCAAATGTAACTGCAGTTTGACCAAGAACTGATCTATCTAACATGTTGTACGATACATATGTATGTACATAGTACATGCTCCGTACAGAAGTACATTATCAGACCGATGCCCTAAATCCTCGGTCGAGGCTTCGATGGGTCTTCCAAAACGGCTATGGAACGCCTCCCATCGCTCCCCGACGGCGCGAGCGGTTCTTTGAGAGCAACAAGTCCACTGATGTGCCTTCTGTGGGGTACCTTTTTATGAAACTGAAAGAGCTCGCGGGAAATGGGCCGCATGGCCGAAATGAATATGAACGTCATGATCGCCTTGGCTCCAAACGAGCGCCCTCGGCTCCATTGGGTAGCGGGTCAGAATGGCTGCTAAAAGTGATTAGGATTGTTCTTTCAACCCACTAGAAGCCACGTCGAGAAAAACCATGTGTGACCCAAGATTGGGAAACCAATGTTTGGATTCATCTCCACTCAACGGCGGGTCCATAATAACAACAACAAAACACTACCTCACAGGGCAACTCTATCAGAAAATGGTAAACAAAAAGGAAAAGGGGGAAGAAAATTATTTACAATTTGTCGGAAATATTCTTTCTTCGGTCGATCGTTACACCAAAGAATTATCTAGTCAAGAAATAATTTCAGTAGTGGCGAAAGAGAAGCAACGCATATTCTCACTGTCGCGCCCACCCGTTATCACATCAATAATCACTCCACCGACATCAGCAGACAGGCTGCAATGTCCAGTTATTGGGCACAGGTTACATAATGCGTGAGGTCTTACAGTAGTACGAGCATGAATGGGGACCCTACCGGGATATTACGCCCTTTTCCTTTTCGTTTTTTAACTTTAGCTTTTTTTTTTTTTCCTTTTTTTCTCCCAATCGAAACGATGCAAGGGGATGCATGTTAGCCGCGACCGAAAGCTACTATAAGACACTGGATGGAGACACTATTTACTTATTGGTACGGCACTGATGTATCTCGGGCGACTACTGCATCGACCTGCAATTCCGCGAGCCTGTTACCGGGGATCGAGAAGACAGACCTAGGCTAGCGATATTGGCCCAACGTGCATGTTGCATAGGCTCCACCCTCGGCTCCTTATCGTTCGTCTGGTTTGCGCCAGATTGAGCGGTGAAACCGCACCAGAAACAAATAGAATACACACTTACAGCCAGAGCCAGTCCCCCGGAGCACGCCGGGAGCAGGAAGCAGACAGTGCCCATCGTCGGCGCAAGATCCAATCACTATAGTAATCGGCGACCTGTGCCCGACATAGTTGCAGCTATGAGGAAAATTGCCCTGCAAGTCCTTTGTATCGTCCGATGCGGAAGCTATATGAAATGTACGCCGAGGACCCATTGGGGTCTCTTGACCGCCTCCCTCTGGTCTTCTCTCCCTCTTGCTTTGTCTGATCTTGTCTTGTCGGCTCTGTTCATTCCTCTCATCGCTTTCACCCTTTTGGAACAACGTTTAAATTTTGGATTTTTTTTAGGGCCTGCTTTTTTCTGACTGGCCCGTTGACCTGCCGCTGTCCCCTCCACACCCCCCCGGTCTAATCTGTCGAGACCCGTTCAGGTCCTCAGGAGCGAATCCTGTCCCCTGTCGTCATGGCATCGCGTTCGCTCGAGACACTTTTTGTTCGCCGCCATGAGTAATCTGGCGCATCACCAGCGCAAGGTCGCTGCCGGAGATGAAAGGGATAGCACATACGGAGTAGTCTAGTCTTGTTAAGCGAAGCTCCGTTGAATCCTTAGATCGTTTGTGCCGCGCGGTGGCATTACATCCACTTTTACCCAATATTCCATTTCCAAATTGAGCAGTGGCCTTTTTTTATTTGATCAAAATGCGATGACACGGTGGATGCAATAATATTTATACTCGTCTCCCTCTCATCTAGAATCCTATCTTTTTTTCTGTCTCATCAATTTCCAACCCATCTTCTAGAAAAGTTTTTCCCTCCTTCATTCTTAATTCTTCCGCTTCTACACTTTGTAATCCGCCTTGACATAAAAAAGTCATAATAACTCATCCTACTCGTCTAAGGCTGTTTTCATTCTCAACATGCCATCAACTGCTCCTGTCATAAGGCCCAAGAGCCATTCTGTCAATGCTCATAAGGAAGAGACCCCTATCAGTTATGACATCAACATTCCCTATGTGGATGTCAATGGAGAGACCACCGCTAGAACTAGGTACCCAGAATATTTGCCGACATGGGACAAAATGTGGTTCGAGCCACTGCCCCCGTTTCACTATGATGATCCTGCGCTGCGCGTAGAGGATAGGTCCAAGCCTAACCTCTTGACTCCCGAAGCTAAAGTGACCGAAATCCAGCCGCAGATCGGCACCATCGTCGAAGGCGTTCAGCTGAGCCAGCTCTCGGATGCCGCGAAGGATGAGCTCGCATTGCTGGTTTCCGAGCGCAAGGTTGTTGCATTTCCCGCGCAAGATCTGATCGATGCCGGTCCCGAGGCGCAGGAACAGTTTATGCGCCATTTCGGAAAACCGAACTATCAGCCTGTTTCTGGAACGGTGCGCGGCCACCCGGGCTTCCATATCATTCATCGCGATGGCAACAAAGAAGAGATCTCACGTTTCCTGTCGCAGCGCACGACAACGACTCTGTGGCATCAGGACGTGAGCTACGAAATCCAACCACCAAGCTACGTCATGTTGGGGCTTCTGGAAGGCCCAGAAGTAGGAGGTGATACCGTCTTCGCGGCGACCGATATGGCTTACAAGTATGCGCGTCTTGATCCAAATTGTTCATTCCCTAAAATTACGGAAACTAATCAAGTTTAGACGCCTTTCTCCTACCTTCTGCTCCTGGCTCGACACTCTGCGGGCCGTTCACTCCTCCGCCAAGATGATCAACCACGCCCGTTTAACCAACAGCCTTGTCCGCAAAGACCCCGTTGACACCGTCCACCCACTGGTTCGGGTCCACCCCGTGACGGGCGAGAAATGCCTCTTCATCAACGGCGAATTCATCACCAAGATTCAGGGTCTCAAGGAGCCCGAACAGCGTTGGCTCACCGACTTCCTCATGAACCACATCATCACGGGCCACGATTTCCAAGCCAGAGTAAGATGGCAACCAAAGACAATCGTTATCTTCGATAACCGCTGTACTCTTCGTAAGTAACAACCCGAATCGCCTTAAAATCCCGTTCACCTCAGCCAAGAAAATCACAAATGGAAAAGCAACTAACAGTGAAAAATCTCCAGACTCGGCAATCGTCGACTACCTAGACGATGACTACGGCGCAAAGCTCCGCCACATCTTCCGCCTGACCGCACTGGGCGAGAAGCCCATCCCCGTCTACGACCAGTTCGAGTAAACAACGACCGTATCAGGCGAACAGCACGTCGTCTTGCATTTTACGAATCATCGCTTTATTATCCCGGGCGTCCAGCGGGGAGTGCAAAACCTATTGAGCGTTACGTTACTTCTGCTTAAATTCGGGTTTATTTGTTTTTTTGGGAAAGGAGTGCAAAAATCGTTGACTTTTTTTTTTTCTTTCTTCCTTTTCTTCGCGGCATATGCATTCATGCGCGGCCTACGACTTTTAATTCTTGTTTTCTCTTTTCTTTGCTTGGGATACCTATTCTTGTTTGCGCTATAGACGGTTGGATTTGATTTGGATTTGGAATTTGGTAGTTTAGACTTGTTAATCTCTCGCGAGAGCTAGCTTATAGACATTGTTATTTGATCTACTTTGATATTGGTTGTTAACAGGTTTCTCCTTTTCTAGTTCCGGATATAACATACATACTATACTTTAAATGATGAGACACCAGCCTACTTTGTTATAGTGATTTTGGATCTTGTTAATATACAAACCACTCAGAATTCTTGAGCATATGTATATTGAATGATCTAAATAGGACATATACCTGCCTGCCTACCCTGCACAGCCAAAAACCTATGACAAAAACCAACAACATAGAACAGTGAACTCCAGATGGCTAGCTAGTACAATGGAATCAACGCACATAAATTGACAGTAATGATATAATTTCTTTTTAGTTGCGCCACATAATTGCATCCATTAGTTACCGCAGTATATCTTCAACCCGTGTCCGCAGCTCATTGGCCAATTGCAATTGTTCGGGAGGAATGTTACCGCCCTGCTGTAGCAGGAGCAGCGTCTCTGTGATGCGTTCCGCAACCACGTCGCTGCCAAACACAGTTCCGCCCAGGCGGACGGTGTCGTGGAACCAGTGCTCGATGAGGTAGAGGAGGTCCTTGGCGATGTATTTCCGGTTGGTGCCGTGGAAGGGCGCCTCATCTGTGTAGTACATGGATTCGAGGACAGTGTAAAGAGTTTCGTGAGCGACTCCAAGGTCGAGGAAGAGGTCGACAACCCATGTTGCTGGTCCAACACCACGCTGATGTTCCAGCGCATAGCGCTCAAGCATGGGCAAAAGAGTGGGGATCGGGAATATTATATCGGACATGCGCAACCGGCTTCCCAAGCTGCGCACCTTATCGATTACAGCTTCATATGGCTGGGGCTCTCCATTTTCGACGGTTTCGTCGTGCAAATCTTGTAGCAGATGCTGCCACGTGGACCGAATATCTGCTGGGTTCCTGTGATCGGCTAAGTAGAATATTTGCAAGCAAATATCGTAGTAGCTTGCAGGGTCGGCATATTGGTTGAACAACTATGACATGTCAGTGGAGGTGGGATTGTTTAACGGGGTTGGCTTGGCCTACCGTGCTAATGTCCATGATGGGGCCGTCAACATCTGCAAGAACCTGCGTCCTGCGTTCCGGAGTTAAGCGCTTATCATCTTTCAGGCGCTGCAGAAGGTCATCCTGAATGTTTGCAAGATCAATGAGATTCGAGATATCTTGCAACAGGCGCTGTCGTAACTGTCGCCCAACATCCGGCGTAAATGTCGAAGCGTTGGCCCTGGCACGGCCCAAATACTCGATTCTACGGCCAAGAGGGAGAGTAAAAGCGCTTTGCGCAAGATGGAACTGAACCTTGGCAGCTTCGAAAAAGCGCTCAGACTGAGCATAGTACCTCCATAGGAGGTCCGCATGTGCAATATCATCCGTAGACTTCCGCTCGAGATAGGTAACCACAAATGCGGAGTTTGCGTGAAGCAAGCGCTCGCTCCAGCCCTGCTCTAAGTACCAGTCATACAAGCTAGTCAAGAACACCTCATCAATAGAGTCAGAGATAACTCCATAGGCTTCGTTCTTGCGCTTGGCAACGACAGTGAGTTGTCCGTCAACAACACCGGGGTCGTGAGCTGCGAGGTTATCCACAGCAATGATGACCTTGAAGATGAGATCATAACACTGCTTTCTGAAATAAAAGTAGTCACTCCGAGAATCCTATTGAGTACATCAGCATTTTATTATTTTCTGACTGATTCATACGGACTCACATTCTCTGGACGACCATCGACAAGCCACGAAAGTGCCATATTAGCTTTGTCTGAACGTGCAGCAACATTGAGCGCAAGCTGTATAGCGCCTGTAGCTTGATTAGCGTTGCCTTAGCCGGAGAGTATTCACCACATACCAGCGAAGAATTGATTGGATATGAAGTTTTCCACTGCAGAAACCAGGTAATCCATTGGCAAGCTTTCGGAAACCTGCTGAAATAGGTGAAGACTTTCATTGAGTAGATTGCGGCCTAGTTCCGAGTTGGAACCAGCTTCAGTCGCTCTCTTGAGCAGCTCCTGAGCCTTGAAGATAACCACATCCTCAGCGCTGCAGAAACTGCCGCACCGCCGCCGTAAAGCGTCAGCAACCGTTTCCACGTTCGAACCTTTCGCGATATTTCGGTTCACAATTCCCTTGACCAAATCCTTCGCGATATCGTGGCCCTTGCTAGTGCTGAAGAGCTCCTCGAATGTAAGCTTCATGAATCGCTGCTTTGAGTCATCTGGCAAAGTGGCAACAATCTCGTCAACCCGCTCATCGAACAGAACCAGAATGAATGAAATGCCTTCAATGGTGTGAGATACAAGCTGAACAAGCGAATGCAGGGCACGATGCTCTGCTTGAAGCGCAGTTTCTTCTTGCTTGGTTGACACACGTGCCAGGGCTTCTGGGCCGCTTAGTCCCTCAATAAAGCTCTTGTTATCTTTGAAGAACTCCTGCAACGCCGATAGATCTCGTTGGATAGTTTGCAACTTTGCGGATGGAACAGAAGGCAAAATCGTTTGTGCCCCGCCGGGGGAGGGCCCAACTTTAGCAATTTCTTTCCTCCAGATTGTACGTAGCAACCTAGACATGTACAGAGCAATGCCCGCATGCCGGGGGGACGGAACCACAGAATCGATCGCCGGTGTAGAGTTGTCAGCTACCGCATTTTCATTCATCGTGGGTCTTCCTCCATATTCGATGAAGACCTTGCGAGCAAATTCGAGCACATGGGGGTCATTAATCTGGGTCAGGCGCGAGTCTGCAGAAATTTCTACGCCTTGGCCGCACGCGACCGCGAGAGCAGTTGCAAGTGTCTCACTCCGGCCATACGTACGAATAAAGTTCTTCACTTCACCTTCTAAGCCTTCATCGCCGTCCCCGCCGCCGCGAACTAGGGCCGCAAACATGTCAACAAGACGTCGGCGACGAATAATATGGATGCCAGTATTAGTCAAGATGGCGATTTCGGCGGCCGGGTTGTCAAACTGAACCGCAAGTTCGTTACCAAAACCACCTGGAGTGGCTGATGCCGCTGTAGACGGGGAGCAAAGACCAACATCTTCCACCCTGCTACCCAAAGAAAGCCAGATAGCTGTCTCGGCAGCATTGCCAGGAATGACATTTTCTTGGGAACGAGCAACGCGTCCAGAATCAGGGGATGAAACAAAGAGAGTATCTGTCTTTTGCGTTGGGTCTTTACATGTGAAGCAAAAGAAGTAGCCAGGAGGGTATCGGACAGTGAACCTGGTAGGGTCAAGAGAATGGATTGGAACCTTTGCTACTGACGGCTGGAAACGACCCTGACCCTGGAAAGCCGGGCCTGCTGGACTAGAGGAAGCGCCATCGAAAGGAGGCGTTTTCACATGGTGAGCCTGCATGCTCGTAGGCGCATTGGTACCGTTGGGTGATGGGGACCAACTGTATGAGCCAGTGGCACTCAAATAGATTCGGTAACCAGTAGCAGTGGTAGCCATCAAATGATATCTAGACGCCTCCGCAGCCGGAATAGGACTGATAGAAACGATTGGGACCTTGGGGTTCAAAGTCTCATTCGATGCAATTATATGCCCGATATTGGCATAAATGTCCATGGCAGGCTTTGTGATCGCTAAGGCAAGGGTACCGTCGGGCTTCATGTGAAATACTCTGATTGTGGACGAGGAAGACAGTGTATAGAGCAATCGTCTGCTGTCATCAATCTCCATCTGCTCGACATTTTCGAACATCTTGTGCGTGAAGCTCGAGAAGCTTAAGCTGGGGGTCAAGGCGCCCAAGCGAGAGCTAGTATGGTTGACCTTTGAGCAACGTCCTTGAAACCACTTTTCCTCTTGTTGATACGTGAGCTCATAAACGTCATTGTCGGAAGAACCACCGAAGAATATACGACCGGTCGCGTCCGACGACGCGATAACGTGGATGTCTAGACCACGAATTGACGTCGACATGCCCGTTTGATACAATGTCACCTGGCGTGCACCTGTAGGGGTCGTCTCGCAGCCCATGCCAAGTAGGATGACGTCTGCAGTTGTTGATACGACAAGCAAATGTGTGATGGAAGGCAGGAACACTCCCGGGCGAGGTTTGGCCAATTTAACTGCATTAATGCTGTTTGGTTGGTCTTCAAAGCCCACCAGCTGGGGATTCGGGTGTGTATAGTCCCAAATGTAGAGCGCGTTGTCAATGGCAACCCACGCATGATTTAACTCTGCGAAAAGACCCATGCTCGTAGAGACCTGCGCTCGGTTGTACTGATCAAAGATCTGGTCTGGAATGTTATACATCTTCACTTTCTGGAAAGGAGCCCATGATGGGGAAACCGGGATATCATAATCAGACGAGAAACCTTCTGCACAAAGGGTCAACCATGCTCTATGTGGCTCAAAGTCCAGTGTTTACTTACGAGAAAGGTAGCTGTCGAGGTCAGGGTAGCGGGCTTCTTGGGTGAGCGTATCATTGACAGTTCGAGCTGCGCGCTCCTCAGTGCTTAAGGTCTGACTTTTCGACTTAGACGCGGCAGGAGGAAGTTTTGGGAGAGAAGCTGGTGAAGGTTGCTCTGCGGGGGCAGGAGCTGGCTTCGGAGAGAAAGCTGGCGCACTCGGAACATTGTTCGGACCAGGAGTCTGAAAAAAGGCGCCAGGTAGCGGTCGCTGGGGTGTCAGAGCTGGAGGAAGATTTGGATAAGACATGATGCTGGCTTGCAGTCGATATATGGGCGGCTTTGGGAGGGGAAGTCGTCGCGCTCCCCGGCGAGGTAAGTTCGTTCGGTGTAGGGGAATTAAGATATTGAGAATGGTAGAAAGAGAAGAAGGAAGCCGGGGAGAAGTCCAAGCTAGACAGGTCGGATAACAGAAATCATCAATGGAGGCGTGTGGTGTTCCTCCAGAGAAGGATACGGTTATTTAAACCGAATAACACTCAAATCATGACAATTCAGAAGAGAGAAACAAAATTGTGCACGGGCCCGAAGATCGTGACTTAACCTCGAAGGAGCTCTCCGCCTTTTCGCTTTTGTTTCCGCCGACAAAAGGTCCTCTTCATTGCTTTCTTGCGCCTCAATTGCACAGAACTTTATTGATCTAATTCGACTTTTCAACGAGTCGAAGAACTTATTTCTTTAGTTAAAATTTATTTCTTTGATTTTGTGTTTCTCCGATCTCATCGCATAATGTTCCGCCCTCAAAGACTCACAGCTCGGCTGAACCTGCGCTCAGTACGATGGAATTCAACTAGCAGTCCATCTACGCCGCCTTTGATGGCCAAAATCAGGACCGACCTTAAGGTTGCTATGCGTGCCAAAGATACAGCGAGGTACGTGAAGCGCGTGCAGTACACATCTTTCCAAAGGCAACGGCTAACACGGGCAATGATATTGCAGGCTGAACGTTCTGCGCGCTATCATTTCCGAAACGAACAACTCCTTGAAGACCTCATCCCCAATCCAAACTGATTTGCAACTTTTATCATTAATCCGAAAGCGTATGACTGGCGCAAAAGATGCGGCGCAACAATTCGCTGAGGCCAACCGGCCCGACCTGAAAGAGTCCGAGGAAAAGAACGTCACAATTTTGGAAGAGTATGCGAACCAGGTGGAGACAATAAGCCTAGATGATGTCAGGCAAATTGTGGCGCAGGAGATCTCGGAGTTGAAGGAGGCGGGCCAAAAGGTCGAGATTGGGACGTTGCTAAAGTCATTATTTGCTCCCGGAGGTGCCTTGGATGGCAAGCCAGCAGAGAGATCAGAGGTCGCTAAGATTGCCAAAGAGGCTGTTTCTGCTCTCTAAAAACGCTAACCGAGTGGTGTGTATATTAGCTACTGTATAACTGTAAACCTACTTCACTACAATAGTCGCATTGAGCCACGGTCAGGCTCCTTTTCACAAAAACATGCGAAGAAGTCAGCCCTGAGCTTCGAGCCTGTTATTTATCACGAATCATTATATGTATATGAACTGCGTAAACCCATACATTCACCAGGACGGGCAACCCTGGCCTCTATACCGATAAGATTAGATGATCAAACACCAAATTGAAATTCCTCCAGCGCCAAATTGTATGCAAAAACTCCAGTGATCCCAACCTTTAGAATACCGTCCCAAGCACCTCCATTTGACATGTTTACCGAACTCCATAGCCGCTGGGAAGTCGAGTTGATTAAGGCATCGGCCCTTCCAAGCTTCTCGCTCAATCAAGAGTAAAATAAGGTAATGCCACCCAGAGCAGTCGCAAACACACCAGCCCACAGCCACCGGTCAGGGTTGGTAAGCTCCTCCTTTGTAATCAAGTTCCTCACTCCAGGCGAGCGGTCGGTATCGCGGGGAACATGACGTTTACTTTTTCCCGTCTCGGACACCGGATTCAAGGTGGTTGTTGGCAGCATCTGCGGCGGCTGATACACAAGGTACATTGGATGCATTGGTGAATCATCAAAACCCTTGAGGTCCAGCCGTTGAATCCCATGGTAAGGATCTTTGGAAACCTGGAAAGACTGAGATTGGGTTAGCGAGAGCAGCGTTCAAAGGCGTGGTGCAAAGGTACATTGAAGGTCTCTGTCTGATTGTATCTAGTGTATGTTGCGACACTAGAGCTACAAGGATCTGAAAGTAGCTGACGGCCATCCGAGGCAATAGGAGTCAATTCAAGGGATCCGTCGCTGTTCAAGACAAACTTTCCATGCTGCCATTGCATAATACCTTTAGGACACGAAGGATCCACGGCTATTGATAACCCAGATGTGTTAGACAGTAGAAGCACCCGAGACGCGGTGGAATACTGACGGTTGGCAACGGCGCGGTAGTACGCCTCTTCATAGTGGCCATCCTCCGTGAAAGAGTAGGAGATACCAGTGAGATCCGGTTCAAGGAATTTATCATTTATCGGATCATAAAAGTCCTATGAAGTAGGGAAAAGCGTATATTAGCTTAGAACCCGTGTTGACACGATGGCTTTGGATAAACAAACAAAGCGACGCTGAGCATACCGGACCTGTAACAACCTTGCGGGACTTTGTTGACCAAGTGCCCACGAGTTCAGATATACTTGCAGCGCTCACGGTCGTAGCAAGTAGACTAAGAGAAAAGTATCCCGCAATCATTGTTTCAATATGTTCTTGCGACAGATAACAACAGATACTTGAGAGGTGTAGCAAGGGAAGGATCAAGGAATCCCAGGAAGGGTCCAATTCCACGGCCCTTTCTGTGGAGCATATTCAGGCACAACCGTCGATCCAGCCACGCAAATCGCCCTAAAAAAGCCAATGTGCCAAGCCATGCCCGTGACACTGATACTAACTCCGAAACAAAGTTGACAAACATCGCCAGATCGAGTAGTTTGCCGTGGAGTCGGCACATGCCACCAGTAGTATACCTATCCTCACCATCCAGTATCCAACCTACACCATTCCAAGGGCTTTGTCACTTCCTCGTAGCAACATGATGGCCGGTCTACAAACAGCTAAGAAAGACCTTCGCAGAAAAATGCGCGATGTTCTACAAAAGATCCCCGCAGATTCTATAGTCAATCAATGTCAGAGACCTTATCGCTTTGACTCATAAAGGTGCTGACACTTCATAGCTAGAATTGCCGCAAACAAGCTGTTCTCTCTAAGTGAATACCAAAATGCAAAAAGAATTGGAGTTTATTTGTCAATGCCATCAGGAGAGCTATCAACTACGGCCATTGTGCAAGATGCTTTGATAAACGGCAAAGAGGTCTTCATACCCTATATCCATAATGTGGAGCTGTCATCGACACAGCAGAAGGCATCCATCATGGACATGTTAGCCTTGAATTCCATGGAAGAATTCAATTCTCTCGCTCCCGACAAATGGGGAATTCCATCTCTCGCGAAAACTCAAGTTGGTACAAGAAAGAACTGCCTCGGCGGTATGGGAGTTTCCCCCTTAGGATCGGATAAAACTACAGATGAAGACTGGGGACTAGATCTGATTGTTATGCCAGGAATGGCCTTCGATCTCGAATTTAGAAGGCTGGGTCATGGTAAAGGATATTATGATCATTTTCTAACTAGGTACTCCAAAGAGGGTGAGAGTAAGACAACGACGCCAAAAATGCCTTTACTTGGTAAGAGAACCCTCCCAATCCATGAAGAACCACAATTTTTTATTCTTGCCTAACCGTCGCCCAGTTGCCCTCTCTCTCATGGAGCAAACTCTGCCCTCGACCGAACAGATACCCGTTGCAAACCATGACTGGCCAGTAGATGTTCTCATCGTCGGCGACAATGGGTGCTTCGTCCGTCATCACTAATCTGTAGCCCAAAAAGAATTCCCTCTCGTGTCAGAACTCCGTGTATTTAATTGATGTGCAAGAGTGTCTCCCAGCGGCAACCCGTAAAAAGACATGATTAAAGAGAAGTAGATATTGTCGTAGCCTGGCAAAACATCTTTGAAATTTCTTTTCCGTATGCTTACTGCGGCCCCTATGATCACTGAACAGCTTGGATGAGTGAGACATTATCTCCCTTAAGCAGGATTTGGCCTACAAGAGAAACAGAATTAGCCCGCTGACTGCTAGTTAAGAATGGCTATAGAAATTAACTCCATACCTAGAGGCCTGCGCTTCTCTTCTTCGGTCTTTGTAGCCATCCTGACCTCCACCGCATCATCAACGACGAGATTCATGAACTCATCGAATCCCTAATCATGTAAGCGAGTTATCGCGATTTTCGCCCATATACGACCACATACCCTGATCTTTCCTTCTATACGAAAAGCCAATTGTTCATAGAGCCAAATAGAAACGGTGGAACGTTGTTGAAGAAGCTTGAAAATGAAATGAATTGGCGCGAGCAAGGTCTTGCGACCGCCTCCACCGCCTCCACGACCAGCCATAGTGATATGCGATGAGTGAAATAAGAGAAAGGTTCAAATAGGATCAGCGATCAATGAGCCGTACTCAAGCGACTGGTAGAAAGCTATTATGGTGGTTTGCGCGGATGTTGGAGGTTGGTTTAGTGTTGGCGGGCAAGATGAGAGAAGGAAGAGAGAGAGCTTAACTTTGGCGGATTCAAACCGCTTCGGGACTTTGCTGCGGCTCACCAACTTTTCCCTTTGGGTTCAGGCGTCACTACATCCCACTTCTACTATAGAGCCATTCACCCGATCTCCTCATCCACCACTATTGAATGATTTTTTTGTGCCTGGCCCACTCCTTGCATACCTTCTTCAGGGGTTATTTAATGAGTATTCATGACCGTACTCCATAGGTGTTGAGCCTCCGGCCTGGCTAACCCCTCATCTCCGTTTCTTCTTCTCCCCCAACCAAAACATCCCACTCCAATCGACGATGGCCAGCAAGGAGGGAACCGCAGGACAGGCCTTTGGCCCTGTTCTAGCTGCGGTCGCTACAATGCAGGGAAATGTTTCCAGAACTGAGAAGGCGCATGCTCATGAGTTTCTCGAGAAATTCCAGAAATCAGTCCGTTACCCCCGACCCCTCACCCCGTACTAGTTCGCCTCAGCCCAATGTGTTCTTACTGACAAACTGGATTCATACTCTAGGTTGAAGCCTGGACAATTACCCACGAATTATTGCAGTCTCCCGATGTTCCTGTCGAGGCCAAATTGTTCGCTGCGACCACGTTGAAGGGAAAGGTGAAACAACCCATGATCAATAGAAGTACCCGGATATTGATTATTGTAGATCATGTTCGATCTAGATCAACTGCCCGCTGAGTCTGTGCCGGCTCTCAGGGACTCGGTAATGAATCTCCTCGTCGCCTTTGCATCGGGCCCTCGCCCCATTCAAACACAGCTATGCGTATGTTTGGCGAGCCTCGCCATTCAGATGACTGGGTGGAAAGATGTCCTCGCTACTGTCGGCTCAGCACTGGGGAGTAATGCTGGTGATTGCGTGTTGGAATTTCTGAAAATCCTTCCGGAGGAGGTCACAGAAGGTCGCAAAATCAATCTGAGTGTATGTTCGACAGACAATATCCCACCTACCTACCCATTCATCACGCAACAGGCAACGGCTCGGCTTCGTACAACCATTAATCAAACTCTAATACTTGGCCTTTTTAGGAAGACGACCTCATCCTCAGGACGAAAGAACTCTTGGAAGACAATGCAGAGCAAGTGATGCATCTTCTAATTCAGTATGCTCAATCATCACGTATGTACACGTTGCTTAATGCCCTCCGTCACCCACTTCAGACATGTGCTAAAGTTTATACCGACCTTAGCCACTGCATCTACCAATCCTCGTCTCCTGGACTGCATCACATCTTGGATGCGCGAGATCCCCGCTTCGAAGATTGTCGAATCGCCCCTGTTGGATGTCATTCTAAAGGCACTTGACGATGACGTGTCATTTGAAGCCGCGGTAGAGAGTGTTTGCACTCTCTACAGAGATACTCGAGAAGTGGACGAGTCACTGCCGATTATACAGACCTTGTATCCGCGCCTGATGTCCCTTCGTCCAAAGATCGCCGAGGCTGCGGAGGCCGAGGATACGGATACGTTCAGAGGCATTACCAGGCTTTTTGCGGAGGCTGGTGAGGCTTGGGTTGTTCTGATCGCCCGCTTACCGTCCGATTTCCGGGGCCTCGTAGAGGCTGTCCTAGAATGCTGCGCACGAGACTGGGAACGCGACGCTGTTTCACTAACTTTCGTGTTTTGGTATGAATTGAAGCAGTATGTCACGCTGGAGCGGTATGCCGATGCACGGGTAAGCTACAGTGACGTCTTCTCCAAGCTGGTGGATGTTATGGTCAAGCACCTTGAGTACCCCCGCCCAGAAGAGGGTGAGACCGATCTGTTTGGTGGGGACCGGGAACAGGAAGAGAAATTCCGTCACTACCGACACTCGATGGGAGATGTCCTCAAAGATTGCTGTGCTGTGATCGGAGTGACGGAATGTTTGTCCAAGGCTTATCAGTTAATCCAACAGTGGATTTCCAACTACGCTTCCCAAGCTAGCGATGAACATGTTCCAAATTGGCAAGAACTTGAAGCGCCGCTCTTCAGCTTGAGAGCTATGGGCCGTATGGTTGACCCTGAAGAAAGCCATGTTCTCCCGCAGGTAATTCCTCTGATAACACAAATACCAAACCAAGAAAAGGTTCGATTCCAGGCCATCATGGCCTTAGCTCGCTATACGGAATGGACAGCACAGCACCCGGAAACTCTCGAGGCACAGCTGAACTATGTTATTTCTGGATTTCAGCACAGCTCCCCGGAAGTTGTTCAGGCCGCAGCTCTGGCTTTCAAGTTCCTGGGTACTGACTGTCAAAAACTGCTCGGAGGACACATTGCTCAACTTCATTCGTTCTACGAGTCTGTTATTGATAAGTTGAAGCCAGCAAGCCAAGAGGAGGTAACTGAGGGTGTGGCGGCTGTGGTTGCAGTGCAGCCACTTGAGAAGATCTATGAGACGATGAAAATGTTCTGCGACCCGATCATGGCTAGAATCATGAACTTGGCGAACAATGCGAAGGACGAACAGGGCCAACGGGCTGTCGCTGGTACGTATTCACGGATATTCAAGGAAATTAGCATGCTAATTCTGCCATCACAGACCATCTCCAATTGATTACGATCTTCGTGCTAGTGGTGAATCCATATGTTTCACCCCGCGAGGAAAATCCCGCTGTCAAATATTGTGGCGAGGTCTTGCCCATCATGACGACTATTGTCATGAACTTTACTTCATCTACTCCCATTTTGGAGCGGGTGTGCCGCTGCTGGAGAAACATGCTTATTTCCTACCGAACAGCCATGACTCCATTATTGCCTACACTAGCAGAGAGCCTCGCAAATGGATTCCAAGCGTCACGGGAAGGATGCTTCTTGTGGGCCACTGATGCAGTTGTGCGGGAATTTTCTGAAGGTGCTGACCTCGTCGATCCAGGCACGAGTCGTGCCGTCTTCCAATTTTACGAGCAACAGGCGATCGCATTCTTGCGTATTCTCAATGACTTGCCCCCCGAGAACCTACCTGACGGTAAGCGCTAGAAGAACCTGCTCTTTTTCTGTAATTATTTTTTCCCTTATGCTGATCTTAATCATCCATAACAGTGATTGAGGACTTCTATCGTCTTTCTTCGGATGCAGTTCGGTACTACCCCAAAGAGTGTATTACCTCGTCTCTCTCTGTGCCGATCTTCTCCGCAGCCCTGAGCGCCCTTACTTTGCAGCAGATCGACCCTCTTATTGCCACATTACATTATTACCATGACCTGTTTAGCTTCGCTTTCGAAAAGCCCGCAGTGTCCGAATTCACCACCTCTGATGGGAATTCGTATATGAATCCTCCGGAAATTCGTGAGGCAGTCAAGCAGTTGATTGCGTCTCAGGGACAAGTGCTTTCGCAACGAATTCTAACAGGAATGCTGTTCTCGTTCCCCGCAGAATGTTTCCCAGATGCGTCCGGTGTGATGATGTCACTCTTCGACTTGATGCCACAGGAGGCCGGGGCTTGGTTTCAATCCACTCTCCAGATGCTGCCAGCGGGTACGATGAAGGCTGGTGAGGCCGAGCGGCTACTGAAGGGGATATCCGATCGGGTACAATCGGGCGAAATCCGCAAAATTCGTACTCTTTTACAAGGTAACACTCATCTTACCTTTTTCCTTCCCCTTTTCTTCTTTTAGTATTGGTTCGTTCCCTCAGGCTAACAACTCCAGACTTTACGAATTCCTATCGGCGACGAAATGTGGCACCTCGAGAAGGGCTGGGCCGGTTGGAGGCCACCCGGTTCCGGTTTAGCGGATAAGTTCATCATCGGCCAGGACTCAACAAGTCAAAAACAGCTCAGCTGAGGAGGTCGGGACTGGGCGATGCTCATCGCCCGCCCATGACTGGCCCCTGTGGCGGATTGGGGGGAAACGCCAATCATGCAATTTTAGTGCACTCCATGGGATCAGCAAGCAATACAGTACACGAAACGTTGAGAAGCAGCCCCCCGACTAAGAAAAATACAAACCATAGATTACCCCACTACCTGTATATGACTACGTTTAGTTCATGCGGTCCCTTCGCATGACGCTTGATGGATAATTCCGCAGTCACTGGGTCGGGAACAGCGATACAGTCGCAATAGCCCATTGTAATACATCAGTATAATAGTGAAAATTTATGATTGGAAGATGTAGACATGGAACGCTATGACAACTTTACACAGTCTGTCTCTACTAGTAAAGAGAAGTTCCGGTATCGGGTTCGAGTCCATGGCATATCCTATCCTGAAACGTAACTGGTTAGTAGAAGACCAACTGACCCGACCCTATGGATGGGATCTTTCTTCAACCCTAAGATCACCAATGAAAAGCATCAAGTTGACTATGACCGATCACGATTACCAATTAGGTCGATTCCATTGTAATGCTGACCAATTTGAGACAAATATACATCACGAATGTTAATGGGTTGTTTCCAGCCACTTTCATATTATGATGGACACAACCTTTCCCCTTCAAGTAGTTTGCAGTAGCATCCATGATTCAGTTCTCCCTAGTGGAAGTCAATAGCCTTGTTTCAGATAGAGCCGCGTAGATGATATACCTTGGGCTAGACCTCCAGAGCAACATGCTCGTAATGAAGTAAACGCTCCATCAACGGGAGAAAAAAAGACACACGCCTCTAATAATTGCCATCCCAGTAAAACTCCCATATATATCACAATAGTGCAACTCAGCATAGACTCGAGACCAGTGATCAAAATATCTCAACTTGTTAACCTTGGGGAAATGATCATCAGGCTGAGGCTTATGCAGGAGACGAAAAGCACTCGGCACGAGACCCCTTAACGAGAGTAAACGAGCTAATTCTGAATGCGCCAGCATCTCGTACGGCCCCAACAATTCCCCAGCAGTGCCATCACTAGCCTAGGGATGAGCCGGCTCCAGACTAGGCAAGCATGCTAACACCAGGTACCCAGCCGGGTGATCATCAGGTCTATCATTTTTTATCGCCCGAGTTCGGGGCGAGTGCGTGCTAAGTCCGGGAAAGAAGGATAAGCAAGTAGAGCAAATGTAGGCATCCTAGTTGGAGACTAGGTAGACCATCGCAAGGTGGCTGGTGAACTAGGACTGGGGGCGATCTCATGATGCGTAGGTGTTCGCATTGAGTTGAAGGAGGTATGGGTCTGAAGGACGCTGCTCAATGGTGGTGCTAGTGGGGAGATTTACCTTTCTACAATCTACTGTCATTTCCTTTTCTAAGTTTTGTTTTTATTTTTAGTTGTTTTTACCCTCTCTTCCCGATGTGGACTGACTGGCTAAGGAACAATTCCTATAGCGTGGTTTCGAGCCATAGGACAGTGCCTGGGAGGGATCGTTTGACAGGTAACTCCGAAAGCCAGGTAAGGGGCACATGGTGTGACTAGATAGTTTGCCTACTATTGTCTGCAAGGACCTTGAGCATGGTACCTGTAAGATGGTGTGCTCGTTCATGTCATTAACGGTAGGTACCAGGGCGCTGGTACGGGCTACGGAGACTTTCGTCAGGACTACTAATTTTGTCACCAAAATCCATACCTGTCTGATGCGGACGGACAATATATATGCATATCCGTTACGTACATACTTCGGATCCTGCCTAATATGTCCTTACCACGGAGACATCTCACTGATCTCCTTATCAGATAGATCATCAGTGGTCCCCATTTGAGCGGAGGGTGGTTCATGCGCTAGGATCATCAGGTACCAGTGAGCGATCGTCCTTAAGTCAAGAACACCTTGGGTGTTTCAGATATTTTCGGTTCCCAATTAATTCTTATACTTACGCTATACTTTTTTCGCAAAATTATTGTTGATTATTGTTATAGCGGGATAACCGTCAAAAACAGAAATTTAGGCTGGGGATCACTGCTAGGTTGCCTTGTTTTTAGTGTGCGAGGTGCGAGGCTGAAGGAAAAAGCAATATAGGCTCCCAACAAGCCGTGTTGATCTTCTTCCGCGGACCTCAACGCCTAGCCACAGTACTCATGCAGTACTCCTCGAGCATCTGCTTTGCTGGCTTGCTTCCGCGGATGAGTGGATTTCAGCGTGTAGATCTATACCGGTAATTTTCTTTTCAGCCACAACAACACGCACTAAAGACCATGTTGGAATGCAGATCAACCCCGCCATATAGGCAATCAACAGGTCCACAATGGGAGTTCGAAAGCATTGATCGCTTATTTTACTTCTCGAGGAGCGCCACGACGAGGCTAGTGAGTCAGTTTGGCCTAAGTAATTAACGAATAACTGCTATTGTTAGCCCACCAACGAAACGATGGAACGGGAAGATGGTCCCATCCATGCTCACTTGACCACAATTATCCGCATTAACCGCGTCCATTTCACCTCAATGAGGATTGTTAGTCGCAGGCTGCATGTGTCCCGAAGCAGATCTCAGATGGGTTCTATGGTAGGTAGTGTTTCGAGTCTCGACAGTGTCCATCAATATGTCTCCACCCGAAATGCCAGGCACCGAGGGCTGTCAGTCACAAGGTTCCAAACCCTAATTATCATTTTCAACGCTTCATTCCGACGGAGTGAAATTGTGGGCAGGTTATGCGCAGGATGGTACCTATAGAGAGGCTCTACCATGATTTTGTGACGCACGATAGTTTTTAGAGTAGGGTACAGCACGTCATGTCAGCTGAAAACGACTGCCTCTGACTGGTTGGCTGAGATTCTAGTTGCATTCTGTAAAACTTCGGTGCAGTTCTTCTTACATGAATTAATTAAATCCTTAATCGTAATCGATCTTAATCTCATGATGATCGTCCTATCTACCCTGCACGATCTCCTCTCCACCCGCTTCAACAGACGAAACAAGGCCACCTCTAGTAAACAGGAAAGGACGCGCAAAACCCACGATACCCTCTCGTCTTCCCTTCTGAGAAGTGATTGGCAGTCCAATTGCTTTTTCCTTTGACACTTGGTGATTTCCCGCGGTTTGATTTACATATCAAAGCCGGGATTGTCGCGAGCCTGGAACTTAAAACACGTTCTAGTGCTAGAGGAGAAAAAGCAAAGAAAGCGGAGATGGGGAAAAACTTAGCGACGAGGGTTGATATTCATTTTGTTAGGATAGCAGATAGCATCCACTTGATGCATGAAATGCCGACTGACCACGAAAAGAACTCGATAATAATAACCTGTTTGGAGCCTTAGTATGTGGATACCCCACCTGGAGTCATGGAAATGGTTGTGGCTATCATTATACGAGATAGAAAATTGATCTGGTTTTTATTTTATTTCAATTTCTCGATTTTCCATTAATCATTACTGGGTGATTTAATTGAATCCTTCAGTCGCCCAGTCCTCTATATGAACTCGTCTGTCGCCGCCCGTTTTCTGTTGGGAAGCAGTACTAGGACTGAGCAGGTACTGTATACGACCGATCGGACCGTTACAGTACAAAAAGTGTACTTTATATATTTCCAATCACCTTCCCCTCTTTTCAAACTTTGTCGCGCGCGCTCGCTCTCTCCGCCTTTCAACTTCTCCAATTATTATTCCATATCGCTCCTAGCGATCGTACCACCACCTCTGCGACCTCTCCTTTTCTCTCTCCCATTTCCGCCTGTGTTTCCGGATTTTCTACCGGCGAGATTTCGCTCTGAATTTCGGTCGGAGTAGAGTTTTCAGCTCGGAATCCTTTCCTCTGTCCAGCCGTCCCGGGAACGCTTCGGCTTTCCGTGCACACGCTTTTCCCCACGGGGTTTTTACTCAACTCGTCCTTGCGCCGCCGCCATCCTTCGCATCTTTTCTTCCGGGCAAGAAAGGCAACCCTTTGATCTCTTCCGTGCCCATGGCATATTTCCCCTGCTTGTTAACCTCTCCGTGAAACTTCATATCCGCCTCCATTCTGCCCCGGACTCGGGCCGTCATCGCCCGGTCTGATGCCCCGACGTATTCGGTAACTCTCCGTTCTCCGCAGGCCAACGTCCTGTGTGTTTTGGGCAACCGGGAAGTCAAGGAAGCAAGGACGACCGTCAATATTTCAGTACTTCTCGGTTGAACCGACTGAAAGATGACCTTGGCGGTCGGTACAATCACAGGTCTAGACCAAGGGCCAAAAGGCATCCGCAGAGAACGAGAAGCAGAGATCATGGACAACGACACCATCACTGTCAATGGCGCCCCGAAGAAAAGGAAGAGGGTTCGAAAGGTCAACACAGACCGTAAATTCGAATGTACACACGAAGGGTGTGGGAAAAGCTATTCGCGTGCGGAGCATCTATACCGGCATCAGTTGAACCGTAAGTGAAACCCCACACCACAACGGTTATCGAAAGATGACTGATCTCTTTGATGGCTTAGATACTCCCAAGCAAATATATCGATGCGATTTCCCTGATTGCTACCGCTCCTTCGTTCGACAAGACCTCTGCATTCGACACCGTGAACGTCACACCACCCAAGGCTCCCAACTCCAAAAACGCGATCATTTTGCGCAAGCTGCTACCAACCAGCCTCAGAGCCCGCACCATGTACCCCACGTCAGCCAAGCGACGGTCGTCACGCCGCCCTCCATACCTACGCAAATCTCAAGCGCTCAGTCCAACGGGGTTGTTCCAATATCTCCTTCGTCATCGTCATCTCCCTCTGTCGGCCTGAATTCCGTATTTAGCTACCAACATCACATACTACCATCGCAGAATGAAAACACTTTCCCCCGGTCAAATAGCTTAAGCACCCATGGGAAAAGTTCTCCTCCAGTACCGAAGAGTTACAGTCCTCCCGAACTACATAATACGTCGTATGGGACGTTGAGCAACCATCAGCCGACAAATACTCCCATCGGTGAAATCCATCATGACGCACAGTCACATCCTGGTCAGACAACCACCACACAATCCCAAGGTGCTGATGGAACTTACTCCTCACTGCCGACAGACGCCAACGGGTCGTCTCTGGCTGATACTGTACCATTTGCCTCTCAGGCTGGTATGCAGATGCCCGTGAATGGTTACTCGGGTCTTTCTTTAGCCCCGGCAACAGCCTCTACACCGACGACTCTTGACCAAACAGCCAACATGGGCGCTTTTGATACAATGCCGGGGATGATAGCTCCCGGCTCGACAGTTGGGGACCCTGGCTTTGATTCGTTGGCCAACTGTGTCTACCCGATCTTTGGAAGCGAATCATACAATAGATCCCCTTTTGCAATGGCGGAAGACTTTACAGCATGGCTTTTTAATGAACCCATTCCCGGATCGTCGTCCATGAGCTACCCTGCAGCGAGTGGTATGGTACCGAATTACATGGACCCTACGCAACTGCAGAATCAATTCTTGTTGGGTGATCCAGCCTATGGGACGTTTCTGAGCGGCGTTATCCCGCCCCATCATCCCATGAGTGTTACCAGCATTCTGGACCCCGGTTCACCCCGCGCCATTATATCGGAGGAAAAGCGGCAGGAACTTCTTCATCTCATGGCGACTCGCTTTAATGAAGCCGCCTACTCGGTAGTGGCCAAACGCAAAGATGCTTTAATGGATGGTGATATGGACGATGACAACCACGTTTTGAGCTTGCGAATGATGCAGACGTACATTGGATCGTACTGGTATCACTTCCACTCTCAGCTGCCCATCCTGCATCGGCCCACCTTTTTCGCCGACCAGGCGCCAAACCTGCTTTTACTGATCGTTATAGCCATCGGTGCATCCACGCTGGACAAGATTCACGGCCCAGAGTTAACCGAAGCGGCATCCGAGCTGGCAGACTTTATTGTGTGGCATCTTAGGTGGGAGCTCTTCATGGACGGTGATTTCCGGCCGCCTGCCAAGCTGTGGGTCTTCCAGGCCCTCCTGCTGCTTGAGGTTTACGAAAAGATGTACTCTACTCGAGCGTTACATGAACGAGCACATATTCACCACGACACCACTCTGACCCTAATGCGTCGGGGCAGCTCTTTGATTGGACGTTCCGCATTCGACTCACCCGCGAGCTTGAGAGACGACCGGCAGGCCCGGTCGGTGTCCTGTTCGACGACAACACAGGATTTCTCTGCGGATGAATCGTGGACGCACTGGATCAAAGCGGAGGCCACCCGGAGAGTGGCATTTGCCGCTTTTGTCCTCGACTCCACTCATGCCACTATGTTCGGCCACTCGGCTAAGATGGTCGCGCATGAGCTTCGGCTACCCCTGCCCTGCGACGAGGCTTTGTGGTCAGCGACCAGCGCTGCTGAAGTGGCGCGTGTCCAGGCTAGTCTCCATGCTAACGGAGTGAAGCCAGTCATGTTTTTGGATGGCCTCAAACGGACACTTAATGGGCAACGGGTGCGGACCAATGCCTTCGGGAGAACCATTCTCATGGCGGGTCTTCTTAGCGTCAGTTGGCATATGAACCAGCGAGATCTCCAAGTCAGTTCTTTGGGAGTTCCTCAGGCACTTGGCGGTCGAGACAAATGGCGAGCTGCGCTGCTGCGGGCCTTTGATAATTGGCGACGAGATTTTGACGAAGCGTTGGGACAAGCCGGGACACCACCACCTTTCCCAGGGTACCGGGTTCAGCATCCACTTGATGATGACAACGTCTTCGAATCCCGCGACGTGCTGCACGGCCTTGCTCACATGGCGTCGCACGTCGACATCGTCGACTGTCAAATCCTCGGCGGGGCCACCCGACTCATGGGAAGAGCTATCACTGCCAGAGACTACAATGCTGCACGTGAGAAGATGACCGAGCGATGGGCTACAAAGGCGTCAGCGCGAGACGCGACTTTCTACGCGCTCAAATTTCTCTCCGAGTGTTTGCTGAGCAGCGAGTCGGAGGAAGGGGAGCTTTACTCAGGACGGGATGACTATCTTCTCAACCGGCCATGGGTGATCTACGTTGCAGCATTGGTTGTCTGGTGCTATGGATACGCGCTGGAAGGCCCGATTCGTTCACCACCGAAGCTGGCCACAGTGGCGGATCAGCGCCGCGACATGCAAGAGTATCTCCGACGGGTGGGAGGCGTACGTTCACCCAACGACCTGGAAGCAATGGAGGATCGCAACCGGTGCCTGGGGATGTTGATGGTTCTGCGAGATGGATTTGTTAACACACGATGGGAGCTGTTGGCGGAAGCGGCTAATTTGTTGAGCAGTTGTATTGAGAAGTTGAAGGGCCGATAAGCACTGGTAGGTCTTTCTGGGTTCTCTTACATCTTCGACTCTTTCCTGTGTCCTTACGGGTTTCAAGAGGGGGGGGTTGTTCTTTGTTTGGGAGCTGGTTGATATCCTTCTCCTTTTGTGTTATGTACATATACTATTTTTATTTTTGGGTCTGTTCATGGGTTATGATTATGCGGTGATACCAATGGGATAAGCGTTGTCTTCTGCATGCTTTGTATGATTGCTTTGTATGATTCTTGGAGAGTAGCTCTGATTTTGGAAATGAGTCGGTTCAATGACGATGATCGTATCAACAGTCATTATTTAGCAAGAGCACTTAAAGTACTGCATACTACGGGAAGACTCGATGTGGAATGACGTCCCAATTGGGGAAGGGCCTGGTTCCCAATCAGGGAACGGTTACCACAACAACGGACACTCCACTTTCTCCTTTTCTCCATCCCGCCTTTTCGACTCTTATCAACATTCCAGTCCAACCTGTTCCTTGGTAACCTCTGGCCTTTGACGTGCTGGTCAACCGTCAATCCTCCATTGCAACCATCCCTGCCTTCATTCCCCCTCGCAGTAATCTACACAGCTCTATACCATTTCCGGAATCTTCCTCGCAATCGCTCCATAACAACAAATCGAAAAGATGGTACGTGGCCCCGTCTGATTGTTGCTCTGCAATCCCGTGGAATAGTGGCAAGAGAAACATGGCCAGCCAGGTGAAGGATGTCCAAGAGCTTGGTGATGGTGGTTGTTTATCTCCTACTGGATCCGGGCGAGATCTCACTCGGTCCCATTGAATCGATTGGATTGAATTGCCGCCCCTCAACCTCATGCGCATTCCCTGGTTCGCCCTCTTCCGACCCATTCCATCAATAATCTTCCCCTCCTCATTCTCCCCAGTACACCTGCATTTTCCATCTCCCTCGTCTGTCACCCTGTGCTTGAAATCATTTCCTTGGTTGAATATCACATTTGGCGTTGAAAATGACCGGCTCACACAATCACCACGACGATCAGGCCTCCACCAACTACAAGGAAGCGTTCTCCCTCTTCGACAAGCGCGGCTCCGGCAAGGTCTCCCTAGAGTCCCTCGGTGACCTCCTGCGCGCATGCGGCCAGAATCCCACCCTCGCTGAGATCGCCGATCTGGAGAAGAGCCTCGGCGGAGACTGTAGGTCTATCCCTATCTAGTCCAATCGCTCATGAGGGAAAATATGATCTAACGAGTTTCATGCGCATAGTCGACTTCGATTCTTTCGTGAAGGTTCTCAACCGTCCGGGCGGCTTCCGCGACCCTGGCGAAGCCGAGGAATACTGCCGCGGCTTCCAGGTGTTTGATAAGGATATGACCGGATTTATTGGAGTTGGTCAGCTTCGATACAGTATGTATTCAGATGGTCGGATGAAATACAAGATGACCGAGGTGCTAACCGGGGGCAGTTCTGACAAACTTGGGCGAGAAGATGTCGGACGAAGAGGTCGATGAACTGCTCAAGGCGGTTGATACCAGCTCGGGTGAGATTAACTACACCGGTAGGTTACAGAATCCCCAGGTGCAGTAGTCAGGACTGAACTAATGCGTGCATATCTAGAGCTCGTTCGCACGATCCTGGCCAACTGATGATTGATACACGATACCCTATGTTCTATGATATTATGAGAATCACTCGAGGGGCGGAGTTGGGCTAAGTTTCAGTTCGTTTGTATTGTATATCGGGTTCATATGATATGGATAGCAATAGCAATGATAGCATAGATATTTGCACAAATTCACACCAGTCCATATACCTTTGATTTAGTGATCCTTGAGATGACGTATAGTAGATAGTGGTACCGTACGTGGGCTCCAAAAGATCACTCCTAGTGTTGAAGGCGACCATATATATCGAACCAACAGGGCAGGACGAAACCAACCATAATAGCGACATAAGTCTCAGCCAAAACAGATAGACAGACTCATGTACTTAACGCCGACTACCCTGAACTATATAAAGTGACCCACACGCACATCCAGAAGTACAAGTGGCATATCACGCAAAGCTACCCAATCGACAAGGAAGTATTTCATGCCCTGTTATCCTCGCAACCTATATGTGTTCCATATAGAGAAATATATAAGATATAATTCTTTGTAGTAATAGACAAGTTGTTCCCTTAAAGTTAGGTGAGTAACTAACTATTCGTTCGGTTAAATTCTACGGACGAGTGCTCGGCTACAATACAATGCAAACATATATAGTAAAGTAGAATTGGTCCAAAAGGAAACACAAGGTAGCCCAAACAAACAGTCTTAATAGTTAAGATACTATCCTCTCTGCTATACAAGCTTCATATGAAGGACAGAATACTATATTTTCTCCCTCTCTTTTTCTTTTCTCTTAAGAAAAAAGTACAAACCCCGATAGTAGTAGTAACGCTATATGCAAAAACATGTATACTAACCCGGGTGAACAACCACACAAACCCCTGCAAGCCAAGACTACAACACAAACAATGCCACAAGTCTCGTCGACTGCAAATACCTAAGCAAATCATTTCGACCAGCCCTCCTGTGAGCTAAAATTGCAGTATAGCGCGTTTTGAGGCCTAAAGAGTGATAGCTCAGTCATCAAATGATGAATCTAGACAAATTTCTAGGCTCTCCCAGTGTCTAAAAGTGCAGTGTAGTATGCATGGCTGAGCTCACATATTAGTGCCGATAAAAGCCTTTAACTAACTTCTCCCAGTGTCTAAAATTGCAGTGAAGATCTGCGGTCAAACTGCCACCTATGTGCGTTGTCACCTTTAACATACGCTCCAGGCCCTCAGAAAATGTAGTACGTGGCTGTATAATAGTCCAAAACCTTGGCAGTGGTGGGCCTTCATCCATCAATGTGGATGGTGAATCCTGAATACCCTCTGTCGCGACCTTAAAATGCTGTGCAAGGCTGGAGACAGACACAATATGAACGCTAGGCAGATAGGCAGTGCTAACTTTTGTGTCAACCCCAATGGATCTAGCTGTGTAATAGAAATGTCCTACATCTATCAGGGTAAGTATGGAATCCTCAGTATCCTCTTTTAGGGCTGAAAAGTGCAATGTAGATGTGTATTAGGGCTGTCTCAACCTAACCTCGATAAATCTAGAAGTATGAGAGAACTGATCTTTATTTAATAGTGTGTATCGCGACTTCCGAACATCATCTCCTCGAAACTAGAAATGTAGTGTACGCTAAAAGAGATTGCAGGTCTGGGAAGCCATTGCATATTGGCAGCACTGGCCTCCACATCCACTATCTGAGTGGATAGGATATCCTAGCCATCCTCCCCAGGGCTCTAAAAATGTAGTACACCGCTGTTTACACTGCAGATGCCCTGTCTCCGCAATCATGACCTTTGTCTCTCGACATCCTGATTCCTACTATCCTCTCCGGGAAGCTAAAATTGCAGTGTAGGGACCCTACCCTTGCAACTAACGCGTGGCAGTGCCAAGTTGTATCGATTTAATCTGTAGTGTTAGTAGATTGGTCATTTCTGCAGGAACCTACCGCAGCGCTTCTGTACTTGGAGGGGCTCAGGACGCTTGGATTATCTTTCTGGTATAGGCAACCCAGGTCCAAAAGATTGTTGGCCTTAGTCTCGCTCGTATCTTGTGAGACGGTGTCGTTTAGATCTGTCAGTTTATTGAGTCGGATTTTGGAGAATTGTGCTTGATGTTGTTCTTCCTGAGAATGCTAGGTATTGAGAATAGTTCTCTAGGGTATCTTGGACAAGTAGCTTGACTGGAGAGGTAATAACTTTGAGTACTGTGAATCTGTGATTACTAGGTCACTGTCTATAATCCTGTGACATCGACCTGGAGTGCCAGCTGTAGAGATGCTTGTGTTTATGGTAGAATTCCAGTTAGTATACATAGCAGTGTAGAGGGCAAAACAGGGGATTGGATATTACTCTTGGACAGCCAGAAAATTATACAACAATCAGAAACATCAAAACTGTATACCAGAAGTACATCGAACATGTCCATAACACTCAACGGCCCAAAGACGAGGAATATAGAACCCCACCAATCTATACAAAGGGCAAACAGTGCTATGGAACCCTACACAAGACAATATCCACGGCATAATAAACAGTACCCAGACTCCATACACCACAAACCCACCAAGACAACACCCCCAAGTTCGATATACACATCCATTCATTAACGAATCAATATAATATAATACAACACATAATAATACATACTTCAAACCTCCGCCCTCCACCCCCTCCATTCATCATCAAACCCCTTCAACCTCCCCTCATCTCCCATAGCCCCCGTCTCCACTAACGCCCCCGGAAGCAAATAAACGACCTTCTCCTTCCGTTCGCCCTCCTCCCCCTCACCCACCGAAGCAGAAGCAGCAACAGAAGTCATCGGAAAAAGCACCCCATCCAAGAAATACCCCACCACAACGCGGCACCGTCCACACCGCAGAAACAATCTCTTCTCGAAGCCGTCCTCGCGCCGTACGAGCGTCGCCTTGCGATCCGGTACCGTTGTCGAAAGGAGGATGGTGTAGTGTTCTTGTCGGTTGGGGTCTGAGTCCTCGGGGGTGGTGGATGTTGGGAGAGGGAGGATGAGGGCTTTGTCTTTGGCGGGGTCTTTGCGGCGCGGGAGGGAGGCGATGTCGCGCGTTGTGGATAGTAGGAGGTGGTTGCAGAAGCGGCAGTGGTGGGTGTGCACTGGGAGACGGTTCTGTATTGTTGGTGGTTCTTGGAGGGATTGGTCTTGAGACAGTGATTGGGGGTCTGGAGTGGACATTTTTGGGTTCTTGGTGGTGGTTGTGGTGTTGGCTTTCCTGGTTGGGCTTTTGTTGGGTGTTCTTGATGTGGGTTCTTGGTGATTGAGGGGGTAAATTGGCTGTGGTGTGCGTTTGGTAGTGTTGGAGTGGAGGTGTTGGTGGAAGCTGAAGAGCTTTTGGTGGGCCTTATCGATAAGATTGATCGGCGCGACGATGCTGCAATCTATACTCCGTGCTATTCTCTCTATCCTGACGGCTATTGATTCTACAAGCATTCCCAAATCGTTTCTTCTTCGTTCGAACTTAATTATATTCACTGAATCATTTATATGTAATGGTAGGTATATATATTAATCCTAAGCCAAGCCCATATCCTTGTAGAATGCATCGGTCTTGGGCTCGCGGCCCAAGAATTCCGTCAAGCTCGTCATTTCATCCTGGCTGCCTCCCTTCTCCAGGACCTGGTGGCGATAGCGTCGGCCGGCGGTCGGGTTCATCGGGTCAGTCTTGAAGACCGTGTAGAACATATCGGTGGAGTAAACTTGGGAGCTGTTATATGATTAGCAAGAATGTCCACAGCACGGGCAACAATAAAGCAAGCGTACCTCAAGTATCCATAGTAACCGGCGTCATAGCCACCGATCAAGTGTCCGAAAGTCGCCTCGCCGTGTCCCCATTCGTCACCAAGGCCCAAGGTCTCCGGTCCATCCATCTGGGTGATCTGCTTGCGCAGCTGGTTGTAGGTGGCCGAGATCGGCAGCTTCTCAATGTCCTCGTGGCTCTTGGGCTCGTGCACCGTCATGTCGAAGATACCGAAGTGCAGCTGGCGCAGGTTGAACAGTGCGTCGTTGACATGCTTCGTCCGGATCAGGTTCTCAATCACCTCGTCGGGGATCTGCTCGGCCGGCACGGGCTTGTCGCCGGCCTGTTCCTTCCAGGCGGCGAGATACTCAGGCGAGAGCGTCGAGTAGTGCTTGCTGAGCGACTTGAGCTGCGATGGGGTCCAGCACCAGTTCTCCAGCATCTGACTGGGGGCCTCGACGAAGTCACGCACGGTGTTGGTTCCGTGGAACCGAGAGTAAATGGTCTTGGCCACGAGGTCATGGATACCATGGCCCAACTCATGGAACAACGTTACCACTTCGTCGTGCTTGAGCAGACTGGGTTTCCTCGGTGTCGGCTTAGTGAAGTTGCACACAAGGGCGGTGGCTGGATAGCGGCGCTTGCCGTCCTTGTCGATAAAACCGGGCTGGAGGTTGAAGTTGGCCGCGTGGCCGTATTTGCCGCTCCGAGGGAAAAGGTCCAGATAGAGATAGCCAACAAATCCACTGCCCTCGCCCTCGTCGTTCCAGACGCTGAAAATCTGCACATCCTCATGCCAGACAATGTCACTTCCCTTGCCGGAGGGAGCTACCTTAGCCCGGTCATCACCGGTGATCTCTACGAACACCAGGCCGAACAATTCCTCGAAGATCTTCAACATACCCTCAATAGTAGTCTGAAGAGGGAAATACTCAGCAATCTGCTGCTGGTCCAGAGAGTAGTCCTTCTCCAGCATCAAACGATCGTAGAACCGGTGATCCCACAGATAGTACTTGCCGTCAAAGGTCTCGCCACGAGCTTCAATGTCGTTCTTCTTCAACTCCAGCAGACTCTTGATCTCCTTCTGGCCACCGGCTGTCAGGCGACTCCGCAGATCTCCCAAGAAGGTGTCAACTGTCTCTGGTGTCTTGGCCATCTTATCCTCAATGCGGAATGCTGCATGGTTCGGGTATCCCAAAAGCCGAGCAGCCTCGTCGCGCAGGACAATGGCCTCCCGGAAGAGAGGTACGTTCTGGTTGCACTTGTTCTCGTTCTGGATCATTACCTGCTTGCGAGTTTCAGGGTTCTTGGCATACTTCATAGTCGGGAAAAGATCCGGATACTTGAAGGTCAGCCAGAGCTTGCCTGCGTTCTCTCCCTCGCCCTTCTTCAAACCTGACAGCACGTCCTCCGGCACACCATCCAGTTCTTCGGGGGTAAACCAGAGACCTTCGTTTTCTTCATTCAAGTTCTTCTGGAATTCAATGCTGATCTGACTCAGGCGCTTCTTGATCTCCTTGAAGCGATCCCGCTTTGGCCCGGCAGGAAGACCCAGCCCATTGCGAATGTAACTCTTATGCTCCTTCTCTAAGAGGCGACGGGACTCGGGGTCAAGAGACTCGTTCTTGTTTAGCACAGCATCCACAAGCTTGAAGACATCCTCGCGCATGACCGTTTCGATGAAGAATTCATCCAGCTCTGCCTCGGCCTTGGACGAAGCATCGCGCAACTGCTGTTCGGTTGAGACTGCCTGGTAGAAGCTGAGAATGTGGGCTTCCAGCGCCATGGTATTCTCGTCATGGGCCAACGGCTTGAGCACTGAGTCGAATGTCGCTGTCTCAGGCTTCACACTGGCGACAACATCATCTTGGACCTTGCGGGATGCCTCAATAAGGCGCTTGGCGTCGTCAACGATCGACTGAGCAGTTGCGGTGAAGACCGGCGGGGCCTGAGGTGGGCGGCGGTAGTGTTCTGGAGCCATGCTCGCGGTGGTGAGGGACTTGCGGAGATTCGTCAGTGCCGTAGGGGACACTGTACGTGTAGTCAGTCGTGAGCCACGGAGATGGCCCAATACTGAGGAGAGTCTGAAAGTGGGGGATGAGAGGCGGAGCGGAGGAGCCACGGTGATGAGAAGAACGCCCACAAACAGGACGAGGGCGTGTAGAAAAACGGAGCGAAGGGCCGGAATGGTGGGAGGGGTAGAAATTGGAGAGGTGGGGTAAGAAGAATTGATTCAGACAGAAGAATACGTGGCTTTGCAGTGGTGATGCAGAGAGGATGGTGACCTGCAGTCTATGGTTGTATTTACTTGGTCACTGGAGTTGGACCCGCGCTAACGGCAAGCTAGTGAACTGTGGAGCTGGTGCCATGCCATGTGACTTTTCCCACCGCAAAATTGAACCTTCGACGTAAAAGTGGTTCGTTTGTTTGCATTCTAGGATCGTTAATACAATAGAAGGATGGTCCTACGCAAGTCTACGGTATGTGCACAAGCTCTATCAGGTGGATATCGTCATCTATTTTCATTGACCAAATATGCTTTGACCTTTCGCTTTTATAAAGGATGCGAATAATAACTCGAATCAATCAAGTCTTCTGCCATCTTGCTGCTGAACCAAATCCCAACTCCGAACCCCATACAATTAAGTGTCGTATAATGAACGCCCATGGTGCTAAATAAGGACATGACCCGTGGAGAAAAAGAATGCAATATCAAAACAATCGTACATCACAGGAGAGGGGATAAATAGCGACTTCATGCTGCATCAGCAGTGGGAATAGGTTCGGGGATCTTCGTAACCTGTTCACCAGCGCGGATGACCCGCTGGCCGCTGCTGTCACGGACGTAGTCGCTGCTCTCCTTTTGGGAGCGCTTCCAGATCTCGACTTCACAGCCACCACGAATGACACCAACCCGCATGGTCGACAACAGGTTGTGCGCAGCGTTGGAGTGATAGTAAACACCTCCGTTGAACATGGCGGTGGCATCCTTGCCGATACCCGAGTTGATCATAGCCTTGCCACCGGGGTGATCCTTGATGAAGTCAGTCACATCGTGAACAACACCGGCAATGGCAACAAGACCACGGCCATTCTTGGCCTGCTCGACGTAGTCGTCCCACTCCATGACAGGAAGCTGGTCGAGAGGGACACCCCAGTCCAACTTAGCACGCTTCTGATCGATCTTCTTCTGGAGCTGTTGAACACGGCCCTTCTCGATCTCATTGGCACGGAATTGCTTGAGATCATAAGCGAGGCCAAGCTGCTTCCAGATCCAGATGCTCCACTTGGTGGGATCATACTGGTGCCATTCAATAGCATTACGATAGTCGGAGGGGAACTCGTGGTGGAAGTTGTGGTATCCCTCGCCGAGGGTGACGAGGGCAGTAATGACGTGATCACGAGGAGAGTTGCGGTCATCAAATGGCTGGTCACCGAGCCAGTGAGCCAGCGAGTTGACACAGAAAGTTGCCTGCTGGACGAAGAAGATACGGAGGATACCAGCATAGACGAAGCCGCCCCACCAGTCACCCCAGCCTAGACCAGCCACGAGCATGGGCACGAACAGACCCATGGAGAAGACGACCTTAAGGTAGTTCCGGTGTTGCCACACAACGACGGGGTCCTCGTTCAGGTCAGAGATATCGGTACGGCCAATACGCTTGGGGTTCTGCTTCATCACCATCCAGCCCAGGTGGGAGTAGAGCAGGCCCTTGCGGACTGAGTAGGGGTCCTTGTCGGTATCGGTATAACGGTGGTGAGCGCGGTGGTCACGAGCCCACCAGCGGATGGAACCTTCCACGGCACCACCACCAACAGCAGCGAGCCAGATCCGAAGGGGAAGACGAGCGGAATAGGAGCAGTGAGCCCACAAACGATGGTATCCTGTGTCGAGCAACTGTTAACCCGCTGTATCCTGAATGGATACTCCTGCGAGTTGGGGGAAAAACCTACCTGCGGTGATACCGAGTCCGGTGAAGAAGTAGTAGATGACGGCCCAGATGGCAGTCTTCAGCTGCAGAGGCACCCAGAAGGCCTGGACACATCCATACACGGGAATGCCGATGATAAGGAACACGTTCAGCCAGTTGACATGCTTGTGCCAGTTGCCCCGTGTGATGGCAGTGTCGGCAATGTGAACCTTCTTGATGTCGCCAGCACGAGGCTGGGTAGTGTCTGCCGTCTTTGCAGACATGATGTCGGTGCTTTTAGTCGTCTCTGAGACCTCCAATATGCCCGAACCCAAGACGAAGAAACTGTCGACAGTGACGGATGCCCTCTTGATAGGTGAAAGGGTTAAGGTGGTGAGGTGGAGAGAAGAGGAAGACTATTTAAACAGGGGCGAGAGATCCGAGGAAGAAAAAGCGATGGAAACCAAAAAGGGTGGGGAAGCTCCGGTAGGAGGCGAAAGCAGAAAAGGCGAATGAGTAAAAAAAATCGGGAGATCCTTTACTTGCACACCCCAAGGGTTCCACCGGTGGATGACGGTTGGGGAAAACAGAGGAAGTGCAAGGCCAGGCAATAATGATGCTATGCTGAGCGATCAACCGGAGCGATGGAAGAAGGAGGAAAAGAGTGGCCTGACAGGTTACTTTTATCATTCACACCTCACAGGCAAATCAATTGATCATAAGATTCCGAGGTTCATGACTGCGTTCAGCATTCAACAAAGCAGAATGTCCAGCATTGCTGATGTCTATGTAAGGACACCAGGGACGTGGCCGAATATCCAATTGCCCTTCCAGTAAGCTTGTTGGGCCGCTTGTGATTCGATGGCGAGTGCCAGCCAGGCTCTGCTGTTTCGGGTTAGTCCGGCTGGTTTGGGCCAATCGCTACCGATTCGCCATCTGTTGAATCCCCAACAATTTTCACATTTTTGCAGGCGGTCAGACCTGGGACGTGTGTGATTGGTTCCATCGGAGACAACGACAGGGAAAAGTCTTTGAATCTCACCTCGCATCAACGGCTACAGTCTCCGCATAGAAGTCTTCCCGAACTGCGATTACAATATCCGAACGTTTAAAGTGACAAATGACAGCAGCCACCGGAAGGATTTCGCCCTCCCCGTTATTTAGAGTAGTAAGACGTCAGTAATTACAATCGACATAATCTAACTGGAGAAGCGGAGGCCCCAGGATATCACCCAGTTGGAGTATATACACGAACAGTAGCACTTCAAATCAGTATATCCGATGCAGCCCTACGGAGGTGTTCTTCTTGCCACTTCGTGGTGGCGACGTACCTGTTATTGCTTCAGTGAAAACTTTGATTTCTTTGTACCGCAATCTTCCGCGCACCACGCCTTCGTAAACTAGGTAAAAGGACAACTTTCCGGCAATTAGTAGGCCGGAGAGTTGTTGAAAACAAGATTGGTAACCAATGGTAGATGTAGATGTTCTGGTGGTGAAGGATGAGCCCAAACTATTCCCCGTAACTCTGCTATACATAGTGCAGGTTTAACACGCTTTAAGAAATAAACTATGTTCAGTCATTGAAGAATCTAGAGCTGTCTAGCCCCCGTAGTCGGACAACTATCGAAATCGCCTTGTAGGGCTTGCACTATTGTTGTGGCTATTTAGAGATGAGACTGCGTCTATCCGACGATTAAGGTAGTTTTCGTGGCGACATACGACCCCCGATCGATTACCAAGATCGCCGCTGGCATATCTGGGGAGATAGCAATCACCGATGTTCTCCATAGTTCCATAGGTTAGTGTCTCATACCAGACGGTCGAGGTTCCTGCAGTAGCACACTATGCTCCCTCATTCAAGGTATGCACATTGTACACTGGATGACCGAACATATACTCCACAATAATATGGGTACTGGTCCCAGCACTAACAACCGTTATTCGCATAAAGATTGAATATTGAAACGCTACTCCGTAGACTAGTGATGGATATCCCTTAGTCAAACCTCACAGTCACACAGCCGATAACTACAATTAAGTAACATTGATTCTCGAAAAAAAAAACAATGGCTAATTCCCCACTTGATCCAAAGCCGATGTAACAGTCCAAAAATGGCCCGTAATCACCTAATATGGTAAGGCGCAATCTGCGTAGTTATCCGCGCCCCAATTACTCCGTACTCAGTGAGAACATCAACCATCCCAAGACCTTGTATTGAAGGGATAATGTCTATTCCAGGTCGACATCTCGACCATGACCAGTTCGGCTGTTTGCTATCAGTTCCCCCGGATTTTAGAGGAATTCGGCGGTACCCGCCTTGGTCACTGATAAGCAGACTGGCCTTCGCGTGCTCAGAATGGTTCAAGAAAGCCTCCTTATCTCGACTCCACTGGTGAAGCCAAGGATACGCACAGGCCAAGTTCTTGGGGTTAGTGTTTCGAGATATTGACTGCACTGTCATGGATCGGGGTTCTAACAGCGTTGCATTGATAACAGCCAACATAGCCAACGAGTTTATGATTTCTAATTGTATGGATTCAATTTTGTACAAAAGGGGGGAAGGGAGAGGTAGCAAAGGCAAGTCTGGTTGCATAGTGGCTAGTGCTACAAGACAGCAAGAAAAAGCTGACTGATGCAAGGGTCGGTGCGAAAGACTGTGTTCAGCACAACTGGTCGTGAGAATGTAGTCTGTAATTCAATGTACTCTTTGTTAAATCACTATAGAACTTTGTTGACAATGTGATTGTCAACCCACATCATTGTCGATCAAGATGCCGCTCCGCAACTTTGTAGCAGCGAACATCGCTCATTGGATCCCCTCTCATGGAATTCTTGACTTTAATCGTTTGCATCACTGTTTGTCTTCAAACCTGAAGCCCGAATGATTCGCGTCCATTGCCGAGGTCTCTCCGAGATCTCCCTTGTTATGGGCGCCAAGGGACTAAATCTCAAATTAGACTTATCCTTGATAGATAACCAACTAAATTTATTAAATAAATTATTCGATTCATTGACGCATGTGCTCGTCACTTATCGATAATCGTATCGCTTTGTTCTCGGAAATTTGCAAAATCTGATCGGGCTTCCCCAGGGATTATTGTTGTCTAGAGAGCTCTTGGAAACATAAAACTCACGTTTCCCCGCGATCTTGATTCGAGATATCAGTTTGAATCATCATTCATACCCTGGTTCACAAGACCTTCTCCCCGCGATCGTTCGTCATACGGAAGCGAACCCTATCTATCTGGAGAAATTTGCCTCCATCGTGATCACAAACGTGGTTCCGTCGACAGAAGAGATATCAGTTGTCCAGCTGCGACACATTCCCAAAGCTCCCCAACATGGATGGACCAGATCAGATTGGTCCGGACCTACGTCCCAAGCAAACTTGGGCCGATAAAGGCCGTCGAATTGTCAAAACCTTCACCACGAGGTACATTATTACTGTCGGATGCCCTATATAACTTGAACATAGATCTGATCGATTTATCCACAGGGATGGATTAATAGGAGACTACGATTATGCATACCTTTTCACACCCAAAATTCCTTTCATGAAGCAAACGAGGCGATCGGCCCCGTTTTTTGGACTCGAGGATCGAGTCCCAGTTTTTCTGGCTCTTCTTCTGGGCTTACAACATGCCCTAGCTATGTTGGCTGGAGGTTGGCATATCGTCCTATTATGACTCGGGGGGCGTAACACTAACTTCTTCAGTTATCTCGCCGCCAATCCTCCTGGGTGGTTCTTCCGGAGCCAACTTTGGAGATGAAGACTACCAATACCTAGTGTCGACCTCTCTGATCGTATCCGGATTGCTGTCTGCCCTTCAAATGACCCGCATTCACATCTACAAAACGCCATACTCGATGGGTACGGGCCTGATTTCAGTTGTTGGTACCTCGTTCGCGATTATTACCGTAGCGTCGGGAGCTTTTACTCAAATGTATTCGTCCGGATACTGCCCGGTTGATGCCCAGGGCAACCGTCTGCCTTGTCCGAAGGGCTATGGAGCTCTCCTCGGTACCTCCTGTCTATGCTCTTTACTCGAAATCGGCCTTTCATTCATAAGTTCCAAGGTCTTGAAACGTGTCTTCCCAGCCTTGGTTACTGGACCAACTGTCCTACTGATTGGAGCATCTCTCATTGAGAGCGGCATGAAAGACTGGGCGGGAGGCTCAGGCGGTTGTGGCAGCGACCCCTCCGCCCGTGCCCTATGCCCCAGTGCAGATGCACCGCACGCTCTACCCTGGGGTAGTGCAGAGTTCATCGGTCTCGGATTCCTGGTCTTCGTGACCATTATTCTGTGCGAAAGATTTGGCTCCCCCATCATGAAATCCTGCGCCGTCGTCATCGGTTTGCTGGTTGGATGCATTGTGGCGGCAGCATGTGGCTACTTCGACCGCTCAGGCATTGACGCAGCCCCAGTAGCGTCCTTCATCTGGGTCCGGACATTCCCCTTATCGATATACCCACCACTCATCCTCCCCTTACTAGCAGTCTACATCGTGATCATGATGGAATCAATCGGCGACATCACAGCCACATGCGACGTTTCTCAAGTGGAAGTGGAGGGGCCCAACTTCGATTCGCGCATTAGAGGTGGTGTCCTGGGCAACGGTATCACCTGTTTGATCGCAGGCTTATGCACCATCACACCCATGTCTGTGTTCGCCCAAAACAACGGCGTCATCGCTCTGACGAAGTGCGCAAACCGCAAGGCTGGATACTGCTGCTGCTTCTTCCTCGTCATCATGGGCATCTTCGCCAAGTTCGCTGCCGCGCTTGTCGCCATCCCCAGCTCTGTCCTCGGTGGTATGACTACCTTCCTCTTCTCGTCCGTCGCTATCTCCGGTATCCGTATCATTTCCACCATCCCATTCACACGTCGCAACCGTTTCATCCTCACGGCCTCTTTCGCCATCGGTATGGCTGCCACGTTGGTGCCAGAATGGTTCCAATATTTCTTCACCTACAGTGGTGATAACCACTCCCTGCAGGGGCTTCTAGATGCTGTGGTGCTCGTTATGACCAACGGATTCGCAGTCACCGCTATGCTGGGGTTGGTTCTCAACCTTCTTATCCCGGAAGATCCGGAGGAAGAGGCCGCCATCATGGAGGCCAGGGGTAGCGAGGTCCGGAGTGAGAATGAAGAGACGAGGGACATTTCGGAGTCCCCAGACTATAAGGGCGCCCAGGCTGGTCCGGCTACTGTATAATAATGGTTTTGGTTTTTTTGCTAGTATATAACGACCCTTGAGAAGGGTCTAATGAAAGGATACCCTGTTGAGTTTCACATGTAGTGACTCGCATCACCTATCTGACTTCCAAGTTAGTACGTATTCGTAAATATACATATTGTAAATGATATCGTCCAGCACATAAAGAAAGACCACCATCCAGAATCACCCAGGCTTTAGACATTTATACAAGTAAAATCCAAGCCTAAACCCCCTCCACCTTCTCCCCAGGCTTCAACATCTTAATATAACAATGCTCCCCGGTCTCCAGCACCTCAATCCCATCCCCAACACAAACCCTAAACTCTACAAAGATTAGCCTAACGCACCAAACAAACCGAACGAAAGAAACAAGCAAACATACCTCTCACAGCAGGAACAGCCTGCATCCCCAGCGCAGCATTGGTCAAATCGCCACGATCGATCCTCCTCCACCTCTTCAGCGACCGATCCGGCTCCACAGGATGCCTAACCCCAGTATCCGGATCCACATTTGGCAACTTACACCGAATAGTCCGACAAGCAGTGTAGACCTCCACGCCCCCAGAGCCAGAGCCAGAGCCAGAGCCAGATTTACCGATTCTCACCCGTTTCCAATGATCCTCCTCATAAGCCCCCGGACCCTGGACGATGATATTCGCCCGAAAGCGACGGATACTTAGCTCGGGGATATCTGCCTTGCATTTACTCGCTATGTCTTGCACGCTGGCTATGTTGAGGAGATGGATGGGGTACGCGTCCGCGAAGCCCGTCACTGGCTGAAACCCCAGATGCTCTTTGCGGGGCGCGTTGCGGAAGATTTCCCGGTGGTGGGATGGGTTTACCCTAAAGAGGGTCAGGGGGCCGCGGACACGGTCAGGGTCCAGGAAACGGCGCAGTGAGGGCGGGAGGTGGCAGCCATAGTCGTGGGCCAGGGGGGTGTCTTTCCAGATTTTGACGGGGGTGGATGGATACGTCGTCTCGGAACTTCCGTCTTGTGGAGGGGAGAAGGGGACTCGGAAGGATAGTTCCTTCGAGAGTAGGCCCAGCTTCATGCCCAGTTTCACTGGGAGCGAGAGCATACCGGCCGCGACTCGCGGGTAATGGATGACCAGGACGCCTTGGGATCGCACTTCCTGGAGCTCCCGGGAGTAGTCGTCGGCTGTGGGGTCGGGGACCCAGATCTCGGGTCTGATGAGAGCCATTCTGCAGAGCGAGCCGTCGCGGAGCGTCCTTGCTGTCCAGTGGGCTTGTTCAGACCGGTTGTTGTTGTTACTGGCTTTGGGGGTGATGTATTCGGCGAAGCAGAATTGGCGGTCGTAGGTGAAGCCTGTGGGGACGACGTCGGCCGTGTCCAGCTCGATCCCGGCGCAGCTTTTGATCGGGTATGCAAAGAGCGCTTTTATGCGCCATGAGGGCTGGTCTTCTGGGTCTGTGTGCTTCTCGAGCACACATTGGCTGTATTTGGGGTCGTATTCGTCGTGCAGGTTGGTTTTGTGATGTGGGAGACCTAGCTTGCGACACCCTTTGGGAGGGTAGTTTGTGAATTGGTAGTATTTATGGGAGACTAAGAATATGGCTATAGGAATGACAGGAAGCCAGATAATGGCTAGAGTTGAGAATGTGTTCATAGCATAGTGACTCACGGTGTTGAAGCCGAGTATGGGTTCAGTGGGATTCAGCATTGAAGCACGAGTCTGCGAAGTGAAAAGACACTTGTATATCTTACGCTTTCACATAGAGACAGTATATAAGGTGAGGATAAGCTTTAAAGTTAACTACGTTGGACAAGAATAACGCCCGTATATCAGACGTCGAGGAAAAATGACGATCTACGGAGATTAGATTTAATTGCATTAAACTCCGACGTGATCCAATCCGAATCGGCAATTCCTCGTTAATGAACGTCGTAGTCACCATCCACCACGGTCGGCAGTTGCTAGACTCAGGATCCCCACAGCGAAGCTGGAGCATACTGCGACACCAAAATGAGAGGTCGACAGTATTCGAGTGTTCCGAAGTGCGCAACTATCATCATTTGATCCCGACAGGCCTGACGCGCCGGGTTCGCGTTTGCCGTCACCATGAACCAGCAGGATTACCTCGGTCTTTCCACTCAGGAGCCTCGTGAGTTCTTGTAAACTCGATAGGAAACGATTGATAAGTTAACGATACGTGTAGATCGCGTTGTCTCCTTTCCTGCGTCGCAGTCTCTGCACGCGTCTGCCGCGTCTGCCTCCGGCGCTATATCGACGGGTATTCCCCAATTAGATGAGGCCATCCGTCCGCCTTCCCTGGAGGATATGCCGGGACGTACTAGCGATATAGACTCCAATGGAATACCATGTGGACATGTCACTGAGGTATTCGGCCCTCCTGGGGCTGGGAAAACATCACTGGCGTAAGGTCCAATCTCTACCTGTCGCACGTTGCTACTGATCTAACAGTATACCTGCAGTCTGAGCGTTGTCACATCGGCCCTCCGGAATGGGGACAAAGTGATATGGATCGGTACGAAACCAAACTCCAGTGAGAACTGGCTCTAACATACTCAGATACGGGATCTCCACTCCCGAAAGTACGCCTGGCAAGCATGCTAAAGAAGTCCTCTGATGCCACATCATCTAATACACCAGAAGACCCTATCAAGAACTTGATCTACTTCCATGCAAGGTCGCTACCTCATCTGCTAGCTCTCCTCATCCGCCCACCCAAGGGCTTTCCCCCAGAGGATGCGAAGCTTCTCGTCATCGACTCTGTATCTGGGCTATTCCCATCATATTTTCCTAATCCATCTGAGTTCAAATCCCGTCTACCCCAGTCAGGAATCACAGACAAGACACAGATTCATTGGTTAATGAACCGCAAATGGAATGTCACAAGCGACCTGGGAAACCAACTCGTGAAACTAGCAGCTACACATAGCTTAGCCATACTTCTAGTCAACCAGACACATACCCGAATCAGAGGCCAACCGCGTGCAACTCTGTGTCCGGTTATCGCAGGCGGAACATGGGAGAATTGTGTCCATACGAGAGTTGCCATTTTTCGGGACTTTCTGCCCGAGGACGAGGGGGATTCCAAGAGCATTAGATTCGCGGAGGTAGTGAAGAGAGCGGGAAAGACTTTGTCTTTGAGATTGGACGAGAATATCGTGCCATTCAAGATTGAGACGGTAGGCTTGGTTCAATTCTCGTGCAGGACTCACAGATGACTCACATGAGTGAATAGGACGGTTTGCGTGGGGTAGACAAGACTCCGCCTCCAATGATCCTGCCTCAAGAGCCAGTTGAAACGAGCGTATCAGCTAGCCAACGGAAACGCAAAGTCGATGAGATTGCGGATAGCCAGGATGAAGATTCCGATGAAGAATTCGGCTGGGTTGAAGGCGACGATGCTGGGTTGAGTGATGGGGCTGCTTGAGGTTTACATTGCATTGAGGTTATGGTCATATTAACATGAGGATGAAGGATATGAAACAGCTGCTTTTTAGGCGGTTGGCTTGTGTAGCTGCAAGTGTTTTAGCCCATGCGGGCTGTAATGGACTAAAAGTCATAATGGGTATATACAAAAATAAAATGGAGATGTACAAAAAGTAATTAGATGATTTCCTCGGGAGGGCGACGTTTAACCAAATCCGATACCTTCATCGTGAATTTCTTGTCCGGACAACCATCGCTCTGTGAACTGTGTGGTCGCTTCGTCCCATCTTGAACAACGCGTGAGAAGCTGATTCTACCCAATAGATCAGACGACGATGCCGGCGCAGTCGGACTAGATTCATACTCTAATGAATACCACTGTACGTCATTGCCGAACGTACCCGGATGCCTGTGCCCATGAACCATATCGACCAGTTTCCCGAGCACGGCAAACTCCAACTTAAGTTTGATGCTGTATATGACACCCTTGAGCGTGATCTGAATAGCATAGAAGCTGGCATATTCCAATGCAAGTAGGGCTAAGTCCATCACAAGAATGGCAACATTGATTCCGACTAACTGGCGCATTATTCTTCGATTTTGTCGGCTCGAACCCAACCGAAGCAGTTTGGTCGTCTCCCAGATATAGAGCCCGGAGATTATCACCTCTTGTAGGGTGAAACCAGTCATCTGGATTTTTTCCATGATATTATATCCTTTGACGAATAGAGGTGATCGATCGGGGACGTTGGAACCATACGTCAAGACGGAAGTCGGGACATGCAGAAGAAAGAAATTTGCGATGATCATGCATAGCACTCGGCGAAGAATGCGCTCATCGCGGATGACAAGATGTAGCCGTGAATAGAGGACAATAGACTGACCCGTCACCATTGTCCACCAGCCGACGGTAAGCAACGTAACAGACAAGAAAGAATTGGCATGTGTGAAGAACTTCAGCATGAAGCCGAGTGAGTATGGAATAACTCCCAAGCAGCCCGAAAGTAGCAAGCTCCAGAAGTATAGACCCGTCCAGCGACGGAATGTCGATAGCACAAGGATTGCCAGCTCAATTACATTGTAAATGGAGATGGAGATGAAAAAGAGAAGGGTCGCTTTGAGCCCATATTGAGTGCCCGCAAGCTCACCGGAAATGCCATCAAGTTGGCTCACAATATTTGACATGATGCGGTGGTATATGGTGATGATGATCTTGACGATCTGGGCTGGAAAAAGTGTGGAGAGGCTACCACTGGCTTCTCTCCCTTGCTTTTCTCTTTAATTTTAATTTTAATTTTATATTTTTTTCTTGCCTTTTCCTCAACCAAGAAATGTTATACGTCAGACCAACAACATCCGAGGTAATGAGCGGAGATTGTACATGTCAAAAGAGCGGCACATGTGGGAATAGAGCGACTGTTAACTGGTAAACCGTATCATATCGAGGTTATGTGAAAGCTCTAGACAATTCTTTCCCTCCTCCTTCCAAAGAAAGGCATTGTGTTGGCCTAGACTAGCTGGAGGCGATACCCCGGAGTCACGTTGGGACTAAGATTCAGTGGCTTCGTATTCCGCAGGAACTAATGACGCTTGCTAAGGTAGTATTCGGGGTTGGTTCACTTGGCCAAGACCAGGGTAGCAGACCAGTAACCGTATCTGGTACGATTCTTGGCGATTCTCCGCGGGCCAAAACAACCCGTTTGCCTAAACTGGCAAGCCATATGGCACGATTGATACGCCATTGGACCCCTAATCATGGCCCATGGGGCATCAAAAGGTTAGTAGTACGGAGGACTGTGGATGGCTTACCTAGCACATGACTACCATACTACATAGTGCCCCTAGCCTGCCCAGATATGATAGACATGCAAAAGAACTGGCTCTCAGCATGTCTGCGATGTACAGTACTATAGGGCTCTTTCGCGATGGACAACATGAGGAACAACTACATCACGATATGTTGATTTCAGCCGGTCATATCGCAAAGATATTTCCAAGTCCTATTTTGATCCCAAATATGTGGCGACTTAGCGCCCTTGAATCTCCATCCCTGTCGTATCCAACAATTCTTTCCCGTGTTTGTTCAAAGCGCCGGACACTTCAAAAGTCCGACTTGCATGGCCACAGAACTAGCATAGAGGTTTAGCTCGAGTTGCGTGTTGTAGGATATAGAACTCGAGCATTCAGTTTATGTTAAAATGGCTAGTCTACACCATGGGCTTATTCTTCATCAGGCACAGGCTTACATGTAGCCTTTGACCAAGACTTCGACGTTGCTTATATTCTTTTATTCTCTTTCGAAGTTTTACTTTATTTTATTTTATTTTATTTTATTTTCTCTTTGGTTCTGGACCCTTTCCACAACCCTAGCGATAGAATTAGTCACACCCAAAAGATTCTCGACGTTGGATATGAGTTTACTTATTCTAGACCCCCTCTCTTGCCACCCAGTATCATGTACTCAAAACGACATCAGCCATACACCTAACTATCCCAATGCGTCCATATATACAGTAAAAACGTGCTATGTGGATGGCTCCACCTCCAACCATAAACCGCCGGCCAAGCGGCGTCAGGACCGGGCAAGTCGTGCCATGGACTTGAGTGGAACTTTCCTGGTCTCGGCCGGCCCCAAGAGAAACGGAGGCCGAGTGAAAGAAGGAGACATGAGAGTAACGAGAGGGCTGAAGACGAATCCTTGTCTATTTTGGAAAGCCAGGAGAAGGATGCGCTTTCTCTAAGCCGTGGCAGAAAAATTCGCCAATACAAGATTTCTAAGCTAGTGTGATGATAAGGGTTTCAATGGGATAGAGACAGATATTATCTCATTACTACTGTTAAGCTGTCCATATCCTTGAGCGGTAGGCAACTGCAACAGCCCACGGGCTCCGTACACTCCATTGGAGACGCAAAGCCAAACAGGGGCCCATATCGATGTCCATATGATGCTTTTCAAAACCAATAGATGAGCTCAGTTCAATTGTTCCCCCCCGGATTACCCCCAGATATCCGAACCCAGGAAATGTGGGCTTGTCAGGGGACCGCTCCCCGGAATGGCCCTCTTTTCCCACAGTTGGGTATCTACTCGACCAGGGTGAACCTTCAGATTATCCAGACTTATGTAACGCCTCCCTCGTACTTATTATACCAAGCACTACTAGCACTAATCCCTAATAAGCCAGGAGTGCCTGAGAACTATCCGGACCAGAGATTAACTACACTAGATCGCGGAAGGTTCCTATGCAACCCGTTGAAGCCAAAGCTCTCTACACCCTGGCCCAGTACAATCCTGCTGTACTAGAGCTGGAGTATCAGATCATGCAATTATAGAGCCGTGTTCATTCCGAAAATTGATGGGTAATATTGGACATGATGACACGCCGACATGCGCCACTACTTTTTGTTGTCCAGCGTCACAAAGCTCAATATGCTTCGGTACGTTAAGATCAATCGTCGTAGAAAATCTTTGCTAGCATGTATGGGAACCTCGCAAGTCTCGACATATGTCTATTATGCTACAAGGTCCAAAACCGCCCAATACGTCCATACTTAAATCATTCATAGATTGGTAAGATAGTCCTCGATCTCCTCTTTCGTCAACTTCCTGAATCTGGGCCCCTGGGCACCTTCCACGCCCTCAAAACCCAGTAGGTGGTCGGCAGGAGGGCCAACAATACCTATACCTAGTCAGTTTGGGTCCAAAACTGGGCAATGAGGTTATTGAGACTTACCAATCTCTATTGTGTCACCATTCATCTCACCCTCAATGGTCTCCTTCAACGTCAACAGGGCAATATGGATAGCATCTTCGAGTTCGAGACCTTCAGTGTAACGCTTTTCAAGGAATGTCTTCGCACTCGTAGCATGCTTGCCAATAGCCGTAGCCTTCCATGGGTAATAACTACCACTTGGGTCGACCTGATACAAGCTCGGGCCACCCTTCAAGATACCACCCGTCTTACCGGTTGCCTTTCTAGGCTCATCTTCACTATCGCCCTTCTGAGCTTCCTCTGACTCAGGTTCGACACCCTCATCCCAACCAGCGATCAACAAACTGACACCGTACGGTCGAACACCACCGGACTGGGTGGCCTCTTGCATGACACGCGCAACATCTTGCACTAATATACGGGTAGGGGGGTGTTCGTTATAGATACGCTTGTAACCAGTGTGGGAAACTTTGCGTGCCTTGTCGACCAGTACACGGTAGTCTGGACCCATTCCCGCGTACACCGTGCCAATGTCGGGCGTGATTAAGGAAACTTTGGAAAGAGAGCAAGGGTCGACGAGTGGTGAAGACGATTTCTTTTCAGTAGCGAGAACGATTCCATTTGTTGCTAGTCAATGCAAGATAAGTTAGCAACTACTTGAGCTGGCTGGACGGAAGCTATGAGATAACGCTCATACCTTTAATTCCGAGCGCAGTTACGCCCTGGTTGACAGCGTTCAAGGCATATTCTGAGTTTATTTAGCAAATGTTCATCATTAGTCTGAGACAGTATATGTTACCAATTTGGCCCAGCTTTCCACTACAAGTCAATGTTAGCTGACAGTTTTCCTCTATGTAGCTAGAGCTCGTCTTACCTGGGGGAGAAGGTGGTGAGAGAGAACGAATAGCGGTCCGCCATGAGGTCGTTTGATTATCTCCGCAAGCTTTGAAGATCGATTGGAAAGAGGTATGGAGACAGATGAGGGGGTATGAAGATAGGATAAAGTCGTGGTGGGGACCAAGTGAAGCTTCCCTCTGGACAGAGCAGGCGACAGGATGTTGACGCAGCAGCACCTTACCTAACGTCGGTTACCTCAGGCGCCGATGCCAAGATGCGCCTAAGGCGGTGACGCTAGGCGAGCACTTAGCGCCGTTTCCATCAGCTTCTCTCTCCACTTCACCTTTAAAGCGCGGTAGTCCTTTTCATTCCCTTTTCTCTCGTTTTTTTTCTCCCCCTTCCCCTCCCCTCAATTGCTCCCTGTTCTATGTCTCTGCCCAACCATTCAATCGACACCCTTCTAAACAGTCGATTGTACATTCTCACCAGGTCGCTGGTAGATCTGGTCACTGTGACATGACCGCATAATCGCGAAAGAAACTAGGCAGAAGCCATAATGAATCCGAACCAGGAGCCACTCTGGCAGTGGCCGAATTCTTCCATGGCTCCCAATCCTGAGGCAGGCCAAAGGTTTGAAGATACTCACCAACATGATGATTCGGCTGCCCCTCCGCCGGAGTCTTCTCAGAAGCACTACCCACCTCGTGTATGTCGCATCTGTCTGGAAACAGTTCTACCTACCTTCCATCCTCCTTCCGATAACATCCCTGGGTTCCTCCAACCCAAAGCACGGGTAGTCTACGAGTCTTCTGATGCGGAGCTCGGCCGACTCCTACGTCCCTGCAAGTGCAAAGGATCTTCACGATATGTCCACGAGGGTTGTCTTCAAGCATGGCGACATGCGGACCCGGGCTATAGCAAAAGGAATTTTTGGCATTGCCCAACTTGTGGCTTCCAGTACCGGCTAGAACGCCTGACATGGGCGCGCTGGATCAGTAGTACTTCCGCGCAGCTTGGATTGACTTTGTTGATATTGATGTTCACTGTTTTTACCCTTGGTTTTGTTGCTGACCCAATCATTAACCTCTACGTCAACCCCATGGAAACCATCATCTACTCTGATTTTTGGGATTCCAGTACTGTGTCTAGCGTCTTGCCGACTGAAAAGCAGGCATCATGGATTACACACTTTGTGAAAGGTTTGGCGTCATTAGGCTTTCTGTCGTTCATCAAAGCCATAGTCGCCATGTCACCCTGGCAGTGGTGGCATGTTCGCCCTAGTGGCTTGGTCAGTAGTGGCAGGACCACAGGCAGAAGCCGAGCAGCGTCAATCACTTGGGTTGTCATCCTGGTTGGCGTTTGCAGTTTCCTTTGGGTAAGTGTGCTCAACGAAGCGTGATGTATGCTTTTGCTAATATTGATCAGGCTGTCTACAAAGGCGTAAGAAGCTGGAGCCGGAGGGCCCTAGAAAAAGCCGGGGAGCGTGTCATGGATGTCCCATTGCCTGACGATGAGGATGAAGAGGAAAATGATCCTTCTCCTGAGAAACCCGAGCATCGTAAAAAGGAGGAATAATGATATCCCTATGGAAGACCATATACTGTCTTCGTATAGTGTTCCATGTCAACAGCTTGTTCCCTAGGTCATTTCCACGCACTACTTTGAGTTGTCACGGTCCTTCTCAATGACGTGCCAATCAGTCAATGTGCGGAGAAAACCCCTGACCCTCGTTAACTCTTGAACAATGTCTGAGAAGTTGGATCCTTGGCCTGAACGTCTTGTTCTTCCTATGGTATCCCTCTTTACAAACCAGCCATCGTTCAAGGGGAGGGTCGAACTGCACCTTCTCGATCAGTCTAGGCGCTTCAAGTAGTGAGCGTTTTCGATTGAATGCAGTACA